AATAAGACCCCAAGAGTGATCTACAACAGAAATTTACAGGGACAATCTATAAAAACAACGTCTTCACAGGCAACATGATGACAATTAATTCATATCTTTCAATAATCACTCTCAATGTGAATGGCCTAAATGCTCCCATAAAACGGCACAGGGTTGCAGATTGGATAAAAAGACAGGACCCATCCATATGCTGTCTACAAGAGACTCATTTTGAACCTAAAGATACATCCAGACTGAAAGTGAAGGGATGGAGATCTATCTCCCATGCCAGCGGACCTCAAAAGAAAGCTGGGGTAGCAATTCTTATATCAGACAAATTAGATTTTAAACTAAAGTCTGTAATAAGAGACACAGAAGGACACTATGTCATTCTTAAAGGGTCTATCCAACGAGAAGATCTAACAATTGTAAATATCTATGCCCCCAACATGGGAGCAGCCATCTACATAAGCCAACTGTTAACCAAAATAAAGAGTCATATTGATAACAATACGTTAATTGTAGGAGACCTCAATTCTCCACTCTCAGCAATGGACAGATCATCTAAACAGAAAATCAACAAGGAAACAAGAGCTTTGAATGATACATTGGACCAGATGGACCTCATAGATATTTACAGAACATTCCACCCTTCCATATATACACTGGAATATTACTCAGCCATCAGGAAGGATGAATACCCAACTTTTACATCAACATGGATGGGACTGGAGGAGATTATGCTAAGTGAAATAAGTCAAGCAGAGAAAGTCAATTATTATAGGGTTTCACTTATTTGTGGAACATAAGGAATAACATGGAGGACATTAAGAGAAGGAAGGGAAAAATGGGCAGGGGGAATTGGAGGGAGAGATGAACCATGAGAGACTATGGACCTGAGAAACAAACAGGGTTTTAGAGGGGAGGGGGGATTGGTTAGCCCGGTGATGGGTATTAAGGAGGGCAGGTACTGCATGGAGCACTGGGTGTTATACGAAAACAATGGATCGTGGATCACTACATCAAAAACTAATGATGTATTGTATGGTGACTAACATAACATAATAAAATTAAAAAAAAAAAAAAAAAAGGTGGGGAGACTGAGCAAATCACCATGGAAAACCACCAACTTAAAAAGTAGGCAGAAACAAGGAAAAACAAATAATGTGGAGACCAAACAACCAGACGACAAAAGATAAAATAGCAGTAGTAAATCCTTACCCATCAATAATCACCCTAAATTTAAATGGATTGAATCCATCAGTCAAAAGGCACAGAGTGGCTGGATGGACAGAAAAAGACTCAACCATTTGCTGCCTACAGGGGTCACGTCTCAGCTCTAACGACACACACAGGCTCAAAGTGAAGGGATGGAATATATGTTAATAAATTGGACACATTTCAATCTAATTTTATACCTCAAGGAACTAGAAAAAAAAGAACTAAGCCCAAATTTAGCAGAAAGGAGGAAATAATAAAGATCAGAAAAAAATAGAGACCAGAAAAACAACAGAAAAGATCGAGACTAAGAGCTGATTCTTTGAAAAGATAAAAAAATTGACAAACCTTTAGACTAAGAAAAAAAAGACACAAAATTAGAAATCAAAGAGGAGACAACTGATACTACAGAAATACACAGAATCATAAGAGATGACTGTGAAAGATTATATGCCAACAAATTACATAACCTACAAGAAATGGATACATTTCTAGAAACCTACAACCTAAGACTGAATCAAAAAGAAACCAAAAATCTGAACAGACCAATAATGAATAAACCAGCATCACTTTGATGCCAAAACCAGAGAAGGATACCACAAAAAAATAAAAAGGTAGACAATATCTCTGATGAATATAGATGCAAAAATTCTCAACAAAACATTAGTGAATCAAATTCAAGAACACATTAAAAGGATTATACACCACGACCAAGTGGGATTTACCCGTGGGATGAGGATGGTTCAACATACACAAATCAATAAATTTAAGACATCACATCAAATAAAAATCACATGATCATCTCAATAGATACAGAGAAAGCACTTCACAAAATACAACACCTTTTCATGATAAAAACCCTTAATAGATTGGGTATAGAAGGAACATACCTCAACATAATAAAAGTCACATATGACAAATTCACAGCTAACATTATACTCAAAAGAGATAAAATGAAAGCATTTCCGTTAAAATTAGGAGCAAGACAAGGATGCCCACTCTCACCACTCCTATTCAGTATAGTACTGGAAGTCTTAGCTAGAGCAATTAGGCAAGACAAAGAAATAAAAAGCATCCAAATTGGAAAGGAAGAAGTAAAATTGTTGCTATTTGCTGATGACATTATCTTATACATAGAAAATCTCAGAGAGTCAGTCAAAAAACCATTGCAGTAATCAACAATTTCAGTAGAGCAGCAGGATATAAAATCAACAAACAGAAATCAATTACGTTCCTTTACACTCAGGATGCACTCAATAACAATAAAATGCTTAGTAATAAATTTAACCAAGGGGCGCCTGGGTGGCTCAGTTGGTTGGGCGACTGCCTTCGGCTCAGGTCATGATCCTGGAGTCCCGGGATCAAGTCCCGCATCGGGCTCCCTGCTCGTCAGGGAGTCTGCTTCTCCCTCTGACCCTCCTCCCTCTCATGCTCTCTGTATCTCATTCTCTCTGTCTCAAATAAATAAATAAAATCTTTAAAAAAAAAAAAAATGTAACCAAGGAAGTGAATGGAAATCTACGAGACTTTCCTGAAAGAAATTGAAGATACAAATGAATGGAAAGACACCCCAGTTCACGGATCTGAAAAAATTAATATTGTTATAATGGCCAAACTACCCAAAGCAATCTGCAGAGATTCAATGCAATCTCCATTAAAATACCAAAGGCATTCTTCAAAAAAGAAAAAGAAAGAAAGGAAGAAAGAAAGGAAAGAAAGAAAGGAAAGAAAGGAAAGAAAGAAAGAACAACCCTAAAATTTGTGTGGACCCAAAGAAGACCGTGAATAGCCAGAGCAATGCTGAGAAAAAAGAATAAAGCGGGAGGCATCATGCTTCCAGGTTTCAAACTATACTACAAAGCCATAGTAATAAAAGCAGGATGATCCTGGCGCAAAAATAGATACATCGACCAGTAAAACAGAATAGAAGGCCTAGATTTAAATCCCAGTATATATAGTCAAGAATACCCAAATGGGGAAAGGACAGTCTCTTCAACAAACAGTGCTGGGAAAACTGGAGAAACACACGCAGAAAAAGAAAGTGGACCATTATCTCACATCCCTCACAAAAATTAACTTGAAACGGGTGAAACACTTAAACATAAGACCTGAAACCATAAAACTCCTAGAAGGAAATGTAGGGAAAAAGTTGATTGATACTGGTCTTGGCACTGACTTTTTGAACACGATGCCAAAAGCTCAGGCAACAAAAGCAAAAATCAACAAATGGGACCACATCAACTCAAAAGCTTCTGCACATCAAAATTAACAAGTAACACAATGAAAACCTACAGAGCAGGAGAAAATGTTTGCCAGCCATCTATCAGACAAGGGGTTAATATCCAAAATATATAAAGAAGTCAGTCAACTTAAAAACAACCCATGGATAAGCTAAATGGTAAGATCGTACAATGAAGAAAAGATATCTACTCACAATCATAGTAAACTGGAAATAAAAAGGAACTTTCCTTAAGTTGGTAAAGGTTATACTTGGAGGAGAAATTTGTGAAGGATACATTCACTTTAAGATAAAGATCAAAAATGGAAGCCCACTATCATCACTATTATTTAATATAGTATTGGAGGTCTGGCCAACCCTATCAGGAAAGACAAAGAAATAGAGGGTGTAAGGATGGGAACAAAACAGGTAAAATTTTCTTTATTTGCGGATGATCAACTACATAGAGAAATCAACAAGTTACTGGCATAAGAGCCTAATAAGCTTGCCAGAGGCAAGATCACCATATAAAAAAATTAATAACATTTCTCTACACCAACAATAAGCAACTAAAAAATATACTAGAAAGTAAGTTGCCGTTCAAAGTATCAACAAAAACAATGACACATCTAAGAATTAATTAAGAATACTCAACATTTCAGTGGAGATAATTTTAAAAATTAATAAAAGCCAGAGGATGGAATGAATAAATGGGAAGATACTCCATGATCTTAAAAAAGATGATTTCATATATAAAAGACATTAGTTCCCACAAAATTGGTTTATTCATTTAATGTGATCCTAATTCTACTACTTCTTTTTTTTTTTTTTTAAAGATTTTATTTATTTATTTGACAGAATAGCGAGAGCAGGAACACAAGCAGGGGGAGTGGGAGAGGGAGAAGCAGGCTTCCCGCCGAGCAGGGAGCCTGATATGGGACTCGATCCCAGGACTCTGGGATCATGACCCGAGCCGAAGGCAGACGCCCAACAACTGAGCCACCCAGGCACCCCCTAATTCTACTTCTGAGTGGGATGGTCCTTAAACTAGTGCTCTGAGAACATCAAGAAAACCTGAATGAAATAAATATCCTAAAGGGAGTATCAACCACTGTAGGAGAATCCCAATCTCCATCAACAGTTCTGTGGGTGTCCTCCTCCAGGACCAGACCCAGACTCTCAGCTTCCCGCTTGGCCTAGAGTCTGCCAATGCTCCCAGGGCAAAAATGGCCACAGAAGTTAGCTCATCGCTCTAAGGTCTACCCTGGTTCTGGTTCCCTAGTTCTTGTCCCAGCAACTTCAGGACCTTCAGAGAAATGACTTCTGTCTTTCATTCAACAAACATTTGTGAGGACCCACTATGGGGGCACTATACTAAGTACTAGGGGTAAAGCAGTGAAGATACTAAGTACTAGGGGTAAAGCAGTGAAGAGGGCAGGGTCCCTTCCCTCTGTGAGCTTTTAGGGATGGCCCGAAGAGGCATGGAAATAAGGCCTGACCCTCAAAATGAATTGTCCAATGTTCTAGTAGAACGGCATCACATGGGAATTGAAGAGGGTTTAAAAACGTCAGGTAATTCTCCTACCTGCAGTGCTTTTTGGGGAGCCTATGCAGGGAGATGCTTCTGTTTCCACAGGGACACTTGAAAAACCTCTTTAGGCCGTCATGCCAGTGGTAGTCATGCTGCTCACTGATGCAGGTCTCCAAAGGCTTGAAGTGGGTGTAGGCACACTGCATAAAACCAACAGGAGGGCACACATCTCTCAAGAGCTTTGAAAGAGAAACTGGCTATCTGCTAAGAGGGCAATCTGTTCCATGAGAACTTTTGTTTTCTCACCACCACCCAGGTAGCTGAGAGCAGAGCAACCACCTTATCTACTAGCTGCGCTGATTTCTTGAGTCCCGCGGACTGATTTTTTCTTGTGTTTGCCACAATTTTTGGTCAGGCATGAAGTACACAACAACCTTCTGTAACATCAAGACAGAAACACTGGAAACCTCCCAATAGCTTCATCAGGTCTGTCCTAAATTTACTGCCATTGCTTGGTGATAGGACACTGACACTTGGGGCCTATTCAGTAGCCCTTTTATTTCCTCTTAAAAAGCCTCAGAAAAGGAAGTAAGCTTTACTACTCTTATTTCATAAGCAGCAAAATCAAGCAGAGATATTAATAATTCACTTGTAATTTCGATCCTCACAAGGACTGAATAGAATAGTAAACACTTAGCAGCATCCAGACTAAGAAAGAGAACCTCCCCAGCACTCCTGAAGCACTCCCTGCGCCCCCTTCCAGGCACTGCTCCCCCTGCACCGCAAGGGTAATTACCACCCTGCTTTCTAGCAGCAGAGATTCATTTGCCTGGTTTTGAATTTTGCATGAATGTAATTGTATGACACATTAAAAAAAAGGGGGGGGAAGGGAGGGGAGAAAGAAAGAAAAAGAAAAAAAAAGGAAGGAAGGAAGGAAGGAAGGAAGGAAGGAAGGAAGGAAGGAAGGAAGGAAGGAAGGAAGGAAGGAAGAAAGAAAGAAAGAAAGAAAGAAAGAAAGAAAGAAAGAAAGAAAGAAAGAAGGAAATGATGGGTGAACATTGAAATAGCTGCTGGGACAGAGCACCGTGGTTTCCGGTAATCAGAGTCTAGCCAGAGAAGTAACTTTTGGTTTTGGCAGCCTCAGAAATACAGAGCAGAATGGTACGCCAGCTGTGGTAGGCAGAACAGCCACCCCCTGCCAAGACACACACACCCTACTCCCTAGAACCCATGAGCACATTAGGTTACATAGCAAAGGGGGACCAGGGTTGTTAGTTGATCTTAAAATTGGGAAATGATCCTGGATTATCGGGTAGGCCCAACGGAATCGTTAAGGGCCCTTAAAAGTGGAAGTGGGACTCCTTAGGGAGGAGGCCGGAGGATGTGAGAAGAGGACTTGGCCTGCCATGGCTGGCTCTGAAGATGGAGGAAGGAGTTGCAAGCCAAAGAATACAGGTGGGCTCAAGAAGCCAGGAAAGGCAAGGAAACAGATTCTTCCCTAGAGCCTCCAGAAGGAACGCAGTCCTGCCAGACCTGGATTTTAGCCCCATGAGACCCACGGAGACTTCCGGCCTACTTAAATGCAAGATAATAAAGTTGTGTCCTTTAAACTGTCAAGGTGGTGGTTATCTGAACAGCAATGGGAAACTAACACACCAGCTATGTCCTTAGGTTTGCTGTTCTGTCAGAGTAAAAGCTGTTGTCTGAGGTAAAACCTTTACTTATTCTCAACTTTCTCAAGGAAGCCCCTGCCTTCTGGTGACAGCTGATTTAGGGCCGTCCCCTAAATGTAAAGGAGTGGTAAGGTTTGAAAAGGAATAAAGACAGAGAAAATTGTACTTGGTAAGCTAAGCCTCTTCCTCCTCTTACACGTGCTTATGAGGGGGATTAGCGAGGGAGGATAAAATGAGTGGTAATGGAAGGATACGGTTCTGCAAGAACTATTTTTTGGTCCTATTTTATCAGTGTTGATGGACAGGGGGTTTATCATTTTCTAGTAGACTTAGTGTAAAAATTCTGCAAATATAAAAAATAATGTAATTTATACTTTGCCTTGAGATTCAATTTAGCAGGTTAAGCCCTGAGTAGAAAGGGACAATAGTAGTTGGTCCTAACATGTGACGCCAAAGGAAATCATTCAACCTATGTCCCGGGACTGTGAACCACGGACTGAGGGTGTGCTAGAAACTTGAGAAGGACAGGTAAGAATAACTTGGGTCCAATGGACAAGGCTTGCCTGCAGAACCAGGAGCTGTGATCAAATGAGAGGAGAATCTCACCATCAACGCTCTGCCACCAGAGCTCGGAGGCCAAGTGGGCAGGCAGCCAGGTCCTTGGCTGTTGTGAGCAGCTTGCTTTCCAGCCTAATTAAATGACCTGTGCAGGACTCCAATCACAAGACATGGCCCCATATCCCATGTATCTCCATGTCCCACTGAGTCACAAGAGGTCACAACAGCTCCAAACTGGGCCCAGGGTTAGAAGCATCTCCTATACTCACCGTCTTGCATGTCACTACTCGACATTTCACTTCTCTGATGCTTCTCATCTTTTCTTCCATTTGTTCCTTTTTCACCAGTGGCTCAAAATAACGTTCCTGCAGCTCAGCCTCAGCCTGGAACGACAAGGCATACAAGAGACCTTGCACCAAATCCAACACGTATTCAGGCACTGATTTAATAATAATAAAAACAACCAAAGAGACAAGCTGTTATGAGGACACCTGATAAGAGCTCAAGGAACTGTAAACCAAAAGATGATCAGAAGTAGACATAAGCTCTTATTTTTCCAAAAACTAGGATGAAAGCATCTGGTGATTTAAATTTTAAAACACCAAATACAAACTGAAAATACTAACATTATTAACAGCATCATCGCGTCAAGTGTGTGCAACAGAAGGGAATTATTTCTCCTGTGCCAATACAGACTCAGGCTATGGAAGGCATTCAGTGGCACCCCACTTATGACAGCCCAGTCTATTTGCCAGACCAAGCACTTGGCAGGAGCAATCCCTGGTTGTCTTGAACAGGGAGTAGGTGTGAGGGCAGAGAGAGATTGAGAGCAGAAGGTGGTCACGGCTGGGGAGTTATTGCAGCTGCACAAGGCCCGGGGCCTCTGGTGGCCACAGAGCCAGGAGCTCAGCTCTACAGCCTCTTAGGGTTGGCCCCAGCTTCTCTCCCGGCCAAGTTTCAGGTCTGGTAGAATGGTGGGATATACAACTGTCTCATTAGTCAGTAGTTTATCAAAAGAGCAGAGCACTCAGAGCACTGCCCCCATGGAGACATTGTGAAAACCGGTGGGAGCACTTTTTTTGGTCATCCCAATGATTGCTACCCCTGCTACTCGCAGGGACCGGGTAGGCTGCACCCACAATGCATGGAACAGTCCCTTCATATGAAAGGATTCTTCTGACTGTTCTAGAAGGCACCCATGTGGATGAAAAACCCAATTATAATCCTCAAACCTAACTAGCTTTATATACAACCCTACAGTATTTGTGTACAGTTCAAATATACATTGAATATACCAAGAGTACAACCAGGCAACTCCTGTGTATATAGAGGGACAACTGTAGTTTGGTGTCTTCGATCGTTCCCTGGATTATTCACGGTTTAAAGATTTTTTAATTTTTATTTATTTGACAGAGAGAGAGGGAACACAAGCAGGGGCAGTGGGAGAGGGAGAAGCAGGCTTCCTGCGGAGCAGGGAGCCCGATGCGGGTCTCGATCCCATGACCTGAGCCGAAGGCAGACGCTTAACAACTGAGCCACCCAGGCGCCCCAGGATTATTCATTGTTTAAAAAAAAAAAAAAAAAAAAAAAAAATCATACTGTCAAAGAAACAGACCCATGGTACTTAAGTCACCAATCAAACACACCTAAGGAGCCTTCATTTCTACTTGCCTCATTTATGTTTCTAATCCAACCCTCTGACAACTTCATTATTTCTTCTGGGATAGTTGTACCTACATATTTACATAATCAAATATATATTTTTAATATAAACATTTTCCTTTTTTCTTCTTTACATTACACGTAGAATATTATATTGATATTCTTGAAATTTGTAGTTAGGTAATTTATATTATCCAAGAATTTTATTTCAGAATAAGGGAGCAATCCAAAATACACGGTATTGGGAGCAACTACCCCCAATGGGTTGGTAACTACTGATTTACAGTATTTGAAATACCAATATAAAAATACTTGAATGGATGTTGGCGGGGATGCGGAGAAAGGGGAACCCTCCTACACTGTTGGTGGGAATGCAAGCTGGTGCAGCCACTCTGGAAAACAGTATGGAGGTTCCTCAAAAAGTTGAAAATAGAGCTACCCTATGATCCAGTAACTGCACTACTGGGTATTTACCCCAAAGATACAAATGTAGGGATCTGAAGGGGTATGTGCACCCCGATGTTCATAGCAGCAATGTCCACAATAGCCAAACTGTGGAAAGAGCCAAGATGTCCATCGACAGATGAATGGGTAAAGAAGATGTGGTGTGTATGTATATATATATATATATATACACACATATACATACATACATACATACATACATACATACATACACAATGGAATATTATGCAGCCATCAAAAGGAATGAGATCTTGCCATTTGTAACGACGTGGATAGAAGTGGAGGGTATTATGCTGAGTGAAATAAGTCAAACAGAGAAAGACATGTATCATATGACCTGACTGATATGAGGAATTCTTAATCTCAGGAAACAAACTGAGGGTTGCTGGAGTGGGGGGTGGGATGGGAGGGATGGGGTGACTGAGTGATAGACACTGGGGAGGGTATGTGCTCTGGTAAGCACTGTGAATTGTGCAAGACTGATGAATCTCAGATCTGTACCTCTAAAACAAATAATGCAATATATGTTAAGAAAAAAAAAAAAAAAGAAGGTAGCAGGGGGGATATCGGAGGGGGAGACGAACCATGAGAGATGATGGACTCTGAAAAACAAACTGAGGGTTCTAGAGGGGAGGGGGGTGGGGGGATGGGTTAGCCTGGTGATGGGTATTAGGGAGGGCACGTTCTGCATGGAGCCCTGGGTGTTATGCACAAACAATGAATCATGGAACACTACATCTAAAACTAATGATGTAATGTATGGTGATTAACATAACAATAAAAAATTAAAAAAAATACTTGAATGGAAAAAAAAATATCCCTTCCCATATAGCAGGACAGAAAAGAAAGCTATAGCGATGAACCGCTTAAACATCAATTCAAAGCCATAACTACGTGGCAACATTATTATAACACTGAGGTCCATTAAAATAATGATAAATGATATTCTTCAATTCCAGGACAGAGGCAAAGCTAAATTCTATCAGAAATATTCCTGTTCTTCAAAGTCAACTCAGACATATAAGTACATCTTGGTTGAGGCTGAAGAAATAGATTCTTAGTCCCATGACAAAGTACCTCGTGTCTGGAGGGCATCTCTATCATTTCTGACCTTTTGAGCTCTTACCTCTTTGAGTATCCCTGTGTGCTTTGATTTTGCTTTTAGAATTTTCTGAAATTCCTCAGATTCCAGGTAGGCAAGTTGCTCTCTCCTTCTTTTCCTGGCAGGCTCCAATTCATCTTCAGCTAGAGCAAAAAGGAAACACAGCAGCTGTCACAGAGGAATTTCAGGAAGCCAGGGAGCCTCAGGGACTCAGCTTCCTCCAGTTTTTTCCGTCTCTGCCCACCAGGCCCTTCAAATTTCATTTACCCCACTAGGTACCAACAGAGGAAAACTCCTCAGGAGTAAGCGGAGAAGTAGGGCCTACAATACGGGGGATGGCAGATTTGACCACTGGATGAGAATCTCTTCCACCTTAAGACAGGAGCGGACTATGATGATAGGTAACATCAACAAAAATCCTTTTTATAAATTGATGGTAAAATGTCACTGCCAACTTCAGAGTTTTCAAAGTAAAAGCGGTAATTTGCAAACAAAGAAATTCTACTTCTTTCAAAGTAAATCTTTATACTAATGTATCTGTACAAAGATCCATGAGTAATCTTTGAAGTTTTTAGATTGTACATAATTTCATTTCAATTTAATGTGCTTATAGAAAACGGTCAGTTCCAGTTGTAGAGATTCTATTTAGGTATTGTACAGAGAGGCCAGTTTAAGTAAGACAATGACTTCTGGCATCAGGGATGGTGGTTATAGTTTAGAACATCTCCTCACAGTCGGCGGACTTCCCACTGCTAACTCTGAAATCCACAGTACCTTGAGGAGAAAAGGTGTTGTTCTCTACGCGTTCCTTCACTTCCAGGACATCCTGGGGGTCCTTTTGCTTCTTTTTAATGCTGTTTGGGTCTGTTTTTGTAAGAATCTGGCCTTTTGCCCTTAATTTGGTTATGGCAGCTAACTAGAAAAAGAGGAGATAACAGTCAAAGATGAGACAGTTACCTGTAGCCCTATGTCCCTTTTCTAGTTTTTAACCATGAATTCTGTTCTCAAATATAAATCAGCAAAACATATCTTCTCTTTGCTTAGCATTATTAACCCAGTTACTAAAATTTTAAAGCATGGAGACAGGTCTATAAGCTAATAAAGTTTCAGCTTATTTAAATACCAAGTTCAACAGTTCAGTTACACTGTGGGCTTTAGGACCCACAGAGGAACCACATAAACATTGTGGAAGTTTGTTTTACAGTCAGACAGAATGAGGATAGGATTCTAGCTCTGCCACTTACTAGTTTGTAACCTTACACAAATTACTTAATTTTTCAGCTTCAGGTTCTACATTTATAAAATGGAGATGATACCGTTTACTAGGTTGTGCGGACGCAAAGAGAGAATGCGTGCAAAGCACAAACCTATATGGAGTAAACAACATGTGTGTATATATCACGGGTACATGTGCAATTGTTTTGTTTTACAGTTTATTATTTCAGTAATCTCTACACCCGACGTGGGGCTTGAACTCATGACCCTGAGATCACATGTGCAACTGTTGTCACTATCATTACTGCAGGTGCAGCTTTGCCTTATGACTAGCCTTTGCCCTTCATGCGGTGATAGCGGCTAATGAGAACAAAGAGAAGACAGGCTCTCGTCACGGCTCAGGGTGACTCAGGAAGGGGTGGGGTGGGGTGGGGTTCTGAGCACTCCCAACTCCTACGTCAATCAGAGCAACTTAGCTCCTGTGTAAGATTTCTTTTAAAGAAGGATTCTTTCAACCACCATTTTACAGTCTTGCCTTAACAATTCCCAGAATTTGCTTCCCTCAGGCCGGCCAGCGTTTAGGCCATCTCCCTCAGCCTCACAAGGAACAGTGTTGAGAATGGGTAACATTCTTGGATTAAATCAATGGCATTATGTTGATACCATCATCACTTGAAATTCCTTTGACTCTAATTATCATGATCAATAAATAGTTATTACGGTCTTTCCTGATCATAGACATATAAAGTTTGCAACTCCAGGTATGTCCTACAGAATGCAAATTCAAATGTTGAAAATAGATACCACTTACCTTTTTGGCTTCTGCTAAAGCACTCAGTTTTGGTCTTGGTGGTGGCGACTCATCAAAAAAGAGAACATCATCTCCTTCTGAGATGCCTCGCCCAAGCTTGGGTATCTGTGTGGCTGGCGTTCCTTCTAGGCCGGGCAACGCAGCCCCCATTTGCAGAGACTGAGAAGGGGCCCGTTGAGAAGAGGGTGGCACAGCTGGGCTCTCAACCCCATTTGAGCTTTGGAGAAATCTTTAAAGAAATATGCAGTCACAAAATATGCAGACTGGGACACTGCAGGCAAGGCCACCAGCTGGTAAGTAGTGGTTAGTAAAGTAGTTGCCCCTCCTTGGTCAAGAATTCAGATTAGCACACACTGAGAACATGCTGGCTTTGCTAACTCCGGTTAACTGATTATTCATTGATAAGCTCTCACTATTTTACCAATTTAGAACATGATTACTATTTTTGCCAACCGGTTTCTAGTGGTGTCTCTCTATAGAACACAGCCCTGAAAGGGAGCTGTGCGCTGTATTCCTAGCTGGTTAGCTAGGACCTTCAGGAACTCACGGAATTTCTCTGTATTTTAGTTTACTGGGGAGCGATAACACACAGGATACGTTTGAAAGTCCTTCACAGAAAGACACTATAATCCACATGGTGATTCATTTTGTAAATAGTCTTAAGGGCTATTGAAAAACAACAGTCGCCACAAACTATTTAGTCCAGAACTTTCATCTTATAGGTGAAGAAATTGAACCCAAAACCCTACTGCCCGTAAGTGACAGGCTGAGGATTAGTACCAGGTAACCCCAGGCCAGGATTCTTTTCACTACCACATGCCCACTCCTGCAACCTGCCTGTGAGACCTGCCCAAAGAGATGTTTTATTTGGCCAGCAAAATTATGAAAAACTTCCAACTGTAATACCTTTCAATGGGCAGGTGCCCTCTATTTCACACAAGGCCAGAACTCCATCTATCTATTTATATCATCTGTAGCCACATGAAGAATGCCTCCAGAGATATTCCATCAGCACCTCAAATTCACCTGCCTGAGGCCAAATCTATGTTCTGGATTTTTCCAGAGAATTTCCTGGTGGCTTAAAGTTGACTTTCCCGTTTATTGAACCATCTACCTTTCAGTGGCCCAGATTTGGGACAGCGTTAACTGTTTTAACAGGGGCAGAACAGGTATGAGTCCAAACCTGGGCCCCATCACCAACCAGCTCTCTGGCGCTCAGTTACGTGACTCATACAACAAGGATAACAGCACCTCACAGATAATGGTAAGGCCCAAATGAGACGTTGTATGTATGCGGTGCATAGCATGCTCTGTACATGTTAAGCATCTATAAACTGTTACTCTTACCACTATTCTGATAACTTGAGTTATGAATCTTTGATTCATCTACCTTCTGCACCATTTTCCACTTGTTTTTGCCTCTACAATGACTCCACTTTCACTGCCTCATTTTTACCATTTACCTGAAAAACTGCAAAATCTACTCACTGGCCTAGCCAGTAATTAAAAAACAAATTGTGGTAGAAATAAGAAATGAGAGGAAACAGGTCAACACGCGCTTTCCCCTTTCACAATCCCCTCCTCAAGTGTTCCTTCTTTCTCTTCTTCCTCGGAGTGCTAATTACTGTAACCTGCCCCACCTAGTCTCAGATTCACGATCATGTGTCAGAAATACAGAACTAGAAAGGCTATCTCCTTAGGTTATGGTAAAATCACTTTTGAACTTTCAAAGTTGAAAAGGTAGCCAACCATCCAAATACTAAAGGCACATTTTGGAAATCCAGTAAGACATTCTGATCCCTTAAATCCACTAAGACAGGAGGACCCCTGAGATGAGCTATCCAAATAGGGTATATCGAACCGTTCTTCTTACCGTTTCTGCATTTCTTCTGACCTCTTCTTCCTCATCTCCAGCACATGCTGCTTCTGCTGCTTCAAGAGGGCTGATGCTGAAATAGCCTGGAAAGTGGGTTTCAGGCTCCCCGTCACCCCTGAAACAAACCACAGACTGAGGGGCTCCAAGGGGCCACGGGAACACAGACATGGGGCCAGAGCAGGGGAAGGCGGACTCTACCTGATAACCTGGCTTTGGCTAAATGTTGTTTTAAGTTTCTGGCTCCAAACGTAGGCAAATCCATCAGTCCCCTAAATTCCTCAGAGCAAGACAAGCTCTTCTGGGGTATTCCTGGAATATACAAACATCAGCTTTAGAGGACTCAAAGTTCTGGCAGTTTGAGATTATGTGGCATCACTTTTAAAGCTCTGCATTCACAACTTAGTCATTTGTAAATGAAGTAGATGGAATGCCAAGAGAAAAATAAGAATCCTTAGCCTCTCGTAGATTCGCAGGACTGCAAAGGCATGACAAAGATCTTGTTTCAAGTGATGATTAGAACACCAGTGTCTAGGGGCACCTGGGTGGCTCAGTCGTTAAGCATCTGCCTTCGGCTCAGGTCATGATCCCAGGGTCCTGGGATCGAGCCCCACATCGGGCTCCCTGCTCAGCAGAGAGCTTGCTTCTCCCTCTCCCACTCCCCCTGCTTGTGCTCTGTCTGTCAAATAAATAAATAAAATCTTAAAAAAAAAAAAAAAATTAGAACACCAGTGTCTGTAGGGTCATTTCCTACACTGTCTGGAATGTTTGCTATGGGTAGGGTCTGTGCTAGGCCCTCACCACTGTTATGGACAAAGCCCCAAGTGAGAAGGGCAGAGGTGCCATTCTTTGACTTAGACCTGTTTTAACGAGAAGGTAACTCATGGGTTTGACCAGGAACTTGATACTGCCGATTCTCATGCTGGACATTAAGAATTAGAGCAGATACATCAAGAAAATTTACAAAGTACTGACGCAAAGACTCAGCCATGATTAATATGCTGTTTTTCCTTAAGATGCTGCCAAGCAGGCTGATGTGCTTAGGCCACATCACTCACTAACTATAGTGAAGAGTGGATAGTTACAACTTAGGGCATGAACAACTGTGACCATTTTCAATCCTAAAGACTACATATTTAAGCTGCAGAAAGAAATATGGTATCGAAAAACAAAGTTACCAAGTTTTTGTTGGGTTTCCTGAATGATCAAGTCTGTCCCCTTAACAACCAGATTAGTCAGAGTGGTTTGAATCTTCTTTTTAGGAGCAACAGCGGCTGCACTGAAATGACAGGAGTCACCCCCCCAAAAGGAAAGTCACTAAAATTCAATGCTCTGATGAGGTAAAGGCACAGAAGTATTCATTTATTACAATCTGTCAAAGTTTCTCAAAGCACTGTATAAGGAAACTTTAATACCACGATCCTACAGCATAGCTGGTGAATGCATTATGTCAGGCAACCTGCCAATTTGGTGGAAGCCATTCTGGAAAAGCAATATGGCAAAAGAAATAAAAAATATACCCCAGTTTGATCAAGTAGTCTAGGAATTTATCTTAAAGAAATTAAGGACTAGGCAAAAACTTAGAATATTAATGGGCTAAAATATTGTTTGCAATGTTATAAGTTAGAAATACCATAGGGAATGGTTTTATCACAGAACCATGTAAAAAAAGACTATGTGGCCACTAAAAATAATGCCGTAAGTGCATATTCGATAAGGAAAGCATTAATTATTTTATGGGGAGGGGGGAGTTGCAAAGTATAGATCTAGTATGATCTCATTTTATCTTACTGGAAATTTATACATATGGGAAAAAAACATCTAAAAGCATATACAGCTGTGTGTGTGTGTGTTTGTGTGCATGTGTGTGCACGTTGTGTTCAAGAGATAGCAAGGAACTAACGATTACTTGGTAGTGGGATTACACCTAGTTTTTACAGTCTCCTTTTGACTGAACTGTATACATACAGATATGTTTTTATAATGCAGGAGTATTGCTTTTTGCAGTCTGGAAAAATACAGGCATTATTTTAAATCTTAAAAATGTGCTCAATATGACAAGTTAGGCAGGAGGTGAAAGTCCTCTTGCCCAATTTGTTAGCCTGGGAAAGAAATGTTTTGTTCTTGGACCAGTGGTAGCTCCTTTGTAACAGGTCCTGAACCAGCCATGTCCTCAGATGTACTTTCTTCCCTCCGGTGACAAGGGCATTGATCACCCACTTCGGGGACTCTATAGAGGGCCTGAGATCCCCAGAAGAGAGGCCATGAATGTCTGCCTCAGCAGCATCCCACTCCTATTTAAGGCTTCACTGCTATTAATTCACTGAGTTAAATGTGGGTTCCAAGAGGTCTGCCACCTCACTGTAAGTCATGAGGAAAATGACTTAAAGGATGACAACACTGGGATTAACATACTTTTAACGGCCATACAGTCACCCCTGACAAAGTTGCACTATTTACATAGAAGCCAAAGAAGCAGTGTGGGCTCTATGTTAAAGACCATCATGACACAACTTAATGTTCCCCCCTCCTGTGTTTTCCTCTCTACCTGGGAATAAAGGAGGTCCTTGTTTACCTTGTTTCAGACTGTGAGTTTACGAAAGATAAAACCTGTACAAGTCCTTTAGGACCATCACAGAAAAGTACAACCATTGGGTTTATTCTCATAAGGAGAGAAGCAAGATCCCTGTCCCAAAAGAAGCCCCGGAGAATGTCTTACATTGAGGCTGCATAGGATGCAGAAGAAACCCCTCCATAGTAAAAATCATCCCGACACAGCCGTTCTCTTAGGCTGGTGCCTTTGCGGGTAAACCTCTTTGGAATTCGTCCTCCGGAGAAGGTGGACTGCAGGTCGGATCGCCTGGCGCTGAGCTTCTTGTACTGGGCCTGGATGTGGTACTGACAGTACTCACAGTCATTCTGCAAAAGAGCAGCTGCATCAGGACTAGGGCGACAATGTCAATAAACACTGTTCCTTACTCCCAGCTTCAGGGGTGCTATTGAGTACAGAGCCCCTCCTATTGAGCTCCAAGGCCATTCCTCAAGTGCAGCTATGCAGTGACTACCCTGAAATTCCCTTAGATGCAGCAACAATGGGGTTTTAATGACAGCATTGCTATGTGGAGATCTGTCAGGCACTTCCTGCTGAGACCTCTTTTCCCAGCTATTTCCCTCCTGCTATTTCCTGCTCACTAGCTCATCTGTTAGGCAGGAATGAGGGAATTAAAAGGAGATGAAACCGAAACTTGCCATTTAATCTGTTCAAAGAGCTCTAAGTAGCTCCACTTCACATCCACTAGGATGGCTGTCATCGGCAAGAGACAAAAACAAGTGCTGGCCGAGATGTGGAAAATGGAACCCTCCTCTTTGCTGGTGAGAATGTAAAAGACACTTTGGAAGCCAGTCTGCTTGCTCCTCAAAAGCTGAAACATGGGGTTACCGTGCAACCCAGAAATTCCAGGTTATATACCCAAGGAAACTGGAAACATTCATCCATCCACATAATAACCTGTACAAGAATGCTTGTAGCAGTATTCATAATATGCCCACTGACTAATGAATGAACAAAACAGGTCTATCCATACAATGGAATATTATTCAGCCACAAAAAGGAATGAAGTACTGATGCACACAACATGAATGAATCTCAAAAACATCATGCTAAGTGAAAACCAGACACAATTTCCATTATATGAAATGTCCAGAGGCAAATCCATACAGGCAAATAGCAGAGTAGTCCTTACCAGGGGCTGAGAGGAGAGGGTAATGGGGGGTGACTGCTAGTGAGTATGGGGTTTTTTGGGGTGGGAGGAGTCTGAAATTACGTAGTCATTGATGGTTGCACACCTCAGTATTAAAACTACTGAACTGTACACTTTAAAAGAGTGAAGTGTATGGTATGTGCATTATAGCTCAAGTTATTATGACTATTATGTTTTAAAAAGCTCTAAGAAAATACATGTTGGAGTTCAGAGACTAAAATAAGGTTTTCAGTGCATTTCATCATAGTGTTTGATCTCTGGCACTGCTCAGAATTGAGGGCAACTAAAATTCCATCTTCCTTATACCTCCTAGTCAGTTGGTAATAAAAGATCACCTTCCTGAGAGGTTAAATCATTCCCTTGTCCTCAGTTTTTCAAACTATAAGTTACTAACCACACACTAGATTTTCTTACTTTGGTGCTTCCTGTTATGTAGGAAACTGTTCCAAATTGACTGTTTTACTGCTAAGCTATCTACAATCTATTCCCATTAGATCCCGTCCTCAGCAGAAACCATCCCAAAAGAACAGAAACCAACCAAATTAACAGTCTGTGTACACGGCTGTCCATTCTTCTTCTTTGCTTTACAGGTTCCCAGGTCAAGAGCTTCACCCATGATTAAAATCTTCTGAGGATGATCAATAGACAAACATACCTGCAGAGAAGACACAGTGTGGGAGTTAAAAGCTGACAAAGGTGTGGCCTTTCATCAGCAAGAATGAGTAAGAGTTTGGTTGGTGGGAGTTAGCAAGGCTTTAGCAGTCTACAGGAATTAGAAGCCAGGACCCTACGAAACAGCTTTAGGAATGGGAGGCATAGAAGACATGTTCAACTCTCCACCCAGTATCCATTGTCTCCTACGTCTCTGCTATAGAATCTGAGTTTCATTCGGGCTGGCCAACACTCAGCCTCAGGTGACGAATCCTGTTCATTTTTCCAGCATCCCTTAAAGCTAGCAATGGTCATGGGACTGTGTTCTGGCCAAGGAAACTGACACAGGAGTTCCCAACAAAAGCAGACAGGGTGGGGTTGGCTCACTCCTGCCTTGAATGGTGATGTGAGGGCAAGAGCTTCAAAGCCATCCAGTGACGAAGAGGAGAAGGCTGAGAGGCTCACAGACACTGGCCCTGACATCACTACACTGCCTATGTTGGGATTATTTATTATGTAAGAAAAACAAACCCCAATGTTTACCATTAAAACAAACTGTAGTGTGGGGCACCTGCGTGGTGCAGTCGGTTAAGCACCCGACTCTTGGTTTCAGCTCAGGTTGTGATCTCAGGGTCATGAGCTTGAGCCCCACATCCATCTCCAGTTAAGATTCTCTCTCCCTCTGCCCCTCCTGCTAGTGCCCTCTCTCTCTCTCTCTTTAAAATAAATAAATAAATCTTAAAACAAAACAAAACAAAAAACAACCTGTAGAGAAGTTTTTCTGTTACTTGTAGCCAAACACATTTGAACCAACTGATGAAGATTTGCTGCCATTCTCTGGGGAAAGAAGAAAAGAAATAACTTTGCCTCTCACAGATCTCAGTCTGCAACAGCAGGGAAAACTCTACTGCTGCTTGAGAAGATGAAATCACTCTGATTCTAAGTTGCAGGTATCGCTGTACAACTAACAGAGCAAAGTCCCGTCAACCAGAAAATCCTGCCTGCTTGATGCCGCCAATGGAGACCGATGAAAGAGATTTAAGGAAACCTGAGCAGAACAGTTCAAAACACTCCAGGAAACTTGGAACTAATGTGGAAAGATTTAATGAAAGAAGCTGTTATGAAACATTTAAGAGTAGGGGGAAATTCAGAACATTGGTGGGTGAGGAACAAACAAAAAATCAGATTAGTGGAGATACATAAAAACATGATTCAGTATCTGGAGGTAGACCAGTTTTTGATAGAACTTGGCCAAGCTGTGAAGACAAGAAAGGAAGGAAAGGAGGAAGGGAGGGAGGAGGAAAGAAAGAAAGACAGCAGGAAAGAAAGAAGGAAAGGACAGAAAGACAGATGGATGGAAGGAAGGAAGGAAAGAAAGAAGGAAAGAAAGGAAGACGGAAAAGAAGGAAAGAAAGGAACCAACCAACCAACCATGGAAACAGATTCTTACCTCCTCTGAACCATCCTTGGGCTTCATGGGGTTAGCGTTGAGCAGCCCTATGACAGTACCCTGTTCAGTCTTCCAGAGTTTTTTGTGAACTTCTCCAAACAAGAACAATGACACATACCGTGTCAGGTCACGGAGATCATTCAGTTGCCAGATACTAAATGTTTTCCCCTGGAACAAATATTTATTCTTATTTTTAATAAATTTTGCACAATGGGCTCTACTATCTCCATTTATGGTTCAAGTGCTCTACTGCGGAAACATATATAAACCACCTTGACTACATAATCTTGAGAATGTGGTCTGCTCATTATAAATTAATTCTCTCTCTAGGCTTTAGTATTTATTACCTTTCTCATTTTAGAAATGAAGGTGAAGTAAGGCAAACCAGTAGCAAAAACGTTAGTGAAGTCTCTAATTCTCAGGTCTAATAGTCAATGAGATAGCATGGCCTTTGTAACTACACACACACACACAGAATATTAAAAGGATCAGTGGAAGTTGTGGCACTACCATTTAATAATTTACTGATATAAATTTAGTGGATCTATTATTTATCACTAATTAATTATATTATTAATATTAATAAAAAGGTGTCAGCTCTGTGCTAGTCAATCTTTGCCTAGCTTAGAAGAAAAACAAAAGCATCATTTAAAGACAACAGGTTATGTTTAACTGTAAAATTTCAGAAGTATTATATATCTGAAAAAATGCAACTCAAAATGTTAACCATTTATATAAAAACTTCCACTTTCACAGTTTCTTTTTTTCTTTAAACAAAATAATTTGAATATTGAATCAAGCTATTTCACACAGGCATCCCAGGACAGGTGTGGTTATAGGTTATGGTGAATTATTGACTGGATTCAAGTGTTATAACTACACTTCCATGCATTTGTACAAAGCCTTTCTTGGAAGGGTTCAGATAAAATTTCACACATATTATTTCAATGTCATTATAGCCCCTTGTGACATAGTTAAGAACTTAATCAAATGAACCAGACATGTTCATGTTCACCTTGACTGTCAGAGGGCTAGATCAGGACCCACAGAACAATCTCAGGTTGACCAAGATCTCAATTAGAGAAAGAAATCAGGATTGAGCATGCTTAAGCATAGTATTTACTGGGAGAGAATTCTGATATAACCAAAAGCCAATTTCTTCCCTTTACAAAGAAGGAAATGGAAGTCCTTAAAGATTAAAGGTCAACCTAAGCTCACATAGCTAAGGAGAATGAGGCTCAGGACCCAGGTTTTCTGACTTGCCAGGCCACCAAGTCATCTTCTTGTTACCTCGGTCAAGTGCGATTTTAAAACCTATTACATCTTTTGTAAGATCCACTGTGCTGGACAGCTCTGCAATTTCAGAATTTCTGAGACTGACGACCTCTTCCTTCTAGGCAAGCTCTCCCGAGGATCTGGGAACTCGGCCTCTCCCACACAGTCGGGATGGTAGTGTCACAGGGACCACCACATGTACCCCCAAAACAATGACAAGTGAAATGCAGCAGGAATAATACAGTGAAAAGCCCAAGGACTCTATACAACCAGGTCTTCTGTAAGTAGGGCATTCTTTACAAATTTAACCTTCAGATAGCAATCCAATGATGGCGAGGCAATCTGCGAATTTACTAGCAGCTTTCTCAAAATAAAATACTGATGGGCTTAAGGTAGAGAAATCAAGAACACGAGCACCCACAGTCAGCTTGTGATGGAGCAGCTAAGAAATCAGTAAGATAGCTTACACTATTACAACTCTGTGGAGTGATTTTCTTCAATATAACCCCAAAAGTCACCCAGTCTACTTCTTCTAGCTTCTCACTTGCCATCTTTTCCTTGAGCTGAGACAGTCTGATCAGTTTTCGGCCGACCATTTTCTTGTTCATCTCTGTGGAGGACACTCGAGGCCGCCTGAGTCAAGAAACCAGCAATGATTAGATTATTATTCTAATCTCTTATTATTCTAATAAGAGATTACCTGGCACTGTAGCAGGTTGGTTAGAAGAGACGTTTTGGGCAGAAATCTCTGAAGTACCTGTTCTCAGGGAGGTTTGGTTATGTAGTATGGACAAGGCAAAGATTTTTATGGCAGATAAATAAAAATAAGATAATTTTTAAAGCTAGTTTATGATTCCTCGGATAGAGAACTGGAGCTTATACAGAAAACAAGAAAGACTGCACACTCTTTAAGTTCTTATAAATTATAACGTATGTTACAATCGTCTTTTAAAAGTAATCTCTTGACTTTAATACAAAATCATGAATTGATACTAAAAATAAGAGTTAAATTTCATCAGTTCTGCAAGAATTTCACAGGGTCTCTAATTTCTAACTGGATTTTTAAAACCCAACATTTTCATATAACAATAGAGGCATGGAATCTAGCTTCAGTTAATATATTCTTACTCCTCATGACTGGCCAAACACTTGTGGATTTGTAAAAGTTGTTTTTCTCTAGGAGAATATTAATACCTATTCTGTACTTGATCATATTATATATTCAAGGACAAAAGAAAACAAACAAACAAAAAAAACCACGCCTTTTGACTATTTCAAAAGTCTTTAGGAATAGAAAGTCATAGAGCTAACTCTGAAGCAATTAAGAATATTCAGGAGAGGGCGCCTGGGTGGCTTAGTCGTTAAGCGTCTGCCTTCGGCTCAGGTCATGATCCCAGGGTCCTGGGATCGAGCCCCACATCGGGCTCCCTGCTCGGCGGGAAGCCTGCTTCTCCCTCTCCCACTCCCCCTGCTTGTGTTCCTGCTCTCGCTATCTCTCTCTCTCTCAAATAAATAAATAAAAATCTTTAAAATATATATATTAAAAAAAAAGAATATTCAGGAGAAAAACACTGATGCAGGTGGAGAAATCCTTCTCGTGGCCTGATTTCTGTGAGTGAATCGGTTACTCTCATGTTACTGCCCTTTGGAGTATCTTCAGGGCCTGAGGTGCAGGTATAACAATTACAGACTCAAACAATTGTGCAGTCCCCTAAATCTGTAGGCTGCTCAGCAACTCTGGCCGAGTTTTGACTTTGTCTACCTCCAGTCAATCCATGTGTGCAGTGCACTCCCATTAGCACCATCTTTCTCTGTGGGGAATTTCAACTGAGAACTCATTGGGGCAGGCAGTATCATCTTGGTAGGGGGTGTTTACCTTGAAAAAAAACCCCTGCGGTGCCCTCAGTGGGAACCACAGCTTTTACTGCATCCCACCCCACAGGCTGCCTCAGATGTAACTGGGTACTTTCTTCCGATTTTGGAGAGTACAGTCTTTACAATACACTTTGACAGCTACGTTCTCCCCCTGCTCAATACATAATCTAAGACCTTAGCAGTTTTAGTTTAGATTGACAAGGGTTAGATGCTCTAAAGGAACTGCACTTAGCTACTCAGAGGGACTGTATGAAAAGCAACGTGGTCTCAGAGTAAGGATCCCTGCTCTGTCTGGGGTTTTGACAGAATAAGAGAGATACAATGGAGTAGTGGTATGGAGCACAGAAGATTTAGAAGGCTTTTAACTGAACTGATCCTAGGAGGTATGCCTATTTTAACCGAGTATCTTAATTTCCCCACAGTTTTAACCGAAGCAAAGGACATAAATTTGCCTTAAAAGTTCTGAGGAGGAAAAAGAGCACAGGTACTTTTCTTAACATTAGTTATAAGAAGGGGGCGCCTGGGTGGCTCAGTTGGTTAAGCAACTGCCTTCGGCTCAGGTCATGATCCTGGAGTCCCTGGATCGAGTCCTGCATTGGGCTCCCTGCTCGGCGGGAAGCCTGCTTCTCCCTCTAACCCTCCCCCCTCTCATGTACTCTTTCTCTCTCTCATTCTCGCTCTCTCAAATAAATAAATAAATCTTTAAAAACAAAACATTAGTTATAAGAAGATACTACTATCCTGGTTAAACTGCATATAGCTTCATGGATTTAGAAATAGTCTCTATCACTGTTTCTGATTAAATATACTATTATTTAGGGGCGCCTGGGTGGCTCAGTCGTTGAGTGTCTGCCTTCATCTCAGGTCATGGTACCAGGGTCCTGGGATCGAGCACCACATCGGGCTCCCTGCTCAGTGGGAAGCCTGCTTCTCCCTCTCCCACTCCCCCTGCTTGTGTTCCCTCTCTCGCTGTCAAATAAATAAAATCTTTAAAAAATATATATATATACTATTATTTATTTGTCCATTTCCTTTTTTTAAATTATGTTTTAGTAAACAAGAAAAAGGCTTCTTTAAACATTTCACATGCAAACTGTACTGAATGCTATGGCTCGTCTTACTGCCAAATTCAAGAGCTGGTGGTGTTAAGTGGATTTGCTGTACAAACACATTATTTCTAGAAGGCTCAATCCTTGAGAAGGAGGACAGGTGGGCCATGAGAACAGAGTGAGAGACCTTTACACTTACTGACCTGAGCCTCAGGCCCGAGAAGGCTTCCAAGGAAACCACTGTCTGAGCCAGTTCCGCAGAACTCCTGGGGGTCCCTGGGCTCTGATCTCTGGTCAACCCACTAGGTTTGTTTCCAGGAGTAGTTCGGAGTGGTTGGGAAGGTGTATTTGTCATCCTCAAAGATGAGCTTTTGGGCTCTAGAAAATTAACACAAAAGTTAAGTGAAAGGAAAAAAATCACACTGATCCTTACAAAATTTGTTTTTATAGAATAGTTTCTTTTTAAATCAACATATGCAATAACCAAATCTCGAGAACGAAGGAAGCCCACGAGACCACTTCCGTACTACCCTCCAAACCTTTTCAGTGTAGCCCGAAAGAACTTCCTGTGACAACGGAAAGGTTATACGCCGATGTTGTCTGATATGGTGGCCACCAGCCACATTTGGCCACCGAGCACTTAAAATGGATTAGTGTTTCCAAAGGAAAGAATGTCTAATTTTATTTAATCTAATTTAAACTTAAAGAGCCACATGTAGCAGGTGGCAGCTGTATTACAGTGCTGCTCTCAAACACAGTTCCCTGTGCAATGACATTTACGGAGTATTCCCCATACACAGAGCGCTGTGGTAGACTCCACAAGGGAGTAAGAGCCCTCCTTCAGGGATCAAGGATTAGTGATTTGTGTGCAGATCAACTTCTACCTGAAGAAAACCCAAAGTCAACTCCCCTTTCTTTGTTTGTTTCTGGTTTCATCTCATCCCATTCCACTCCATTTCATTTTATTTGTGGTGGTGGTGGTAGGGAACTAGGGGGACCAGGGTATTCTACCATCTTGCTTGCATTAAATATCCTCAGTGTGGTTAGTTTTCTTACTTTCGAAGTGTTTGATAATGTTCCTGAAGGTCAGAAAACTTGGATATTTTCCTTAATATAGATCACTTTCTCTGAAGTAACATTGCGCTGTTTACCCTCAAAGAGACTTTGGGTCACTAGTGGCTCCCAAGCTAGGGGTTAGGACAAACCTAGAACTTTAGAATCTCTAGAAAGCCTGCCCATGCCTCACCCTTCAAAACTAAACTTTGGGGGCACCTGGGTGGCTCAGTCATTAAGCGTCTGCCTTCAGCTCAGGTCATGATCCCAGGGCCCTGGGATCGAGCCCTACATCGGGCTCCCTGCTCCGCGGGAGGCCTGCTTCTCCCTCTCCCACTCCCCCTGCATGTGTTCCCTCTCTCGCTGTGTCTCTCTGTCAAATAAATAAAATCTTAAAAAAAACCCCAAAAAACAAAAAACTAAACTTTGAACACTACCTAATGAAATACCTTAGTAATGTCAAAGGTCCTAAAGGGAAGGATGCCATTCATAAGTGGATACGTGGAATATATAATTTATGTCAAATGTAAACATGGAGAGGCTGTTATTCTTTGCTATTGTGTTGTATGCCACTGTTATTCAAAGGGGCCTTTTTGAACATCAGTGGTCAATAATATGCTGCTTACTCTGAGTAACCAAACCATTTTGTCTTAGATATTCCAAAGAATTATTATCATGTGCAAACTGAGGCAGTGCAACAAAATCAATACATATGGCTCATATATTTTTTTCATTTTAACTGTGTGCTTACATGTGGGCTGAACTAGAACTATATTTGAGTATATACATCTCTACTCCGGGCAAAGAAGTCTTTTCTAAAGAATGGACCCTCTGCTTTAATACAACCTGGCTTCAAATAAAACTTGGCCACTTTAAAAGGAATCTGTGCCTTGAACCCAGAGGCCCAGCTGTAATCTCTGGATTGCATGAGAACTCAATCCCGTGGTTACTTTACACTTACTACAATTCAAGTCAACTATAAGACTATAGAGCTTAAAAAAATTCAATTCATTGTTTTAGTAAATACAGCTACTCTGTATCTAAGGATTTTCAAGGCACTCTGAGATGTAGAGAAAGATTACAAAATATAGCATATGGCTCTCATTCCCAACAAACTTACTTTTCTCAAAGGGCAGATAAGATGAACCCCTGGCCCTCCCCAGCGGACAGATATGATAGTGCCAAAGTGAATTTTAAATAGAACAAGAGTAGTGAAAAACCAGGGAGGCCTTGAGTACTACACCTGCAGGTGAAACCTTTGGTGTCTGAGCCACCCGCTTGGTTTTTGGTGGAATAGGGATATCAAGCTCTGCAGAAAAGCATGTCGACTCCTGAATTCTCTGAACTTTCTTCTCTTTAAGAGGGGGGCGTGGAGACTTCTCTATTAAAAGAAAAAGAAATAAACAAAATTTAGAAAGGGGCCCAAAGATAATTTTACCAGCAGCTGGATGCAGAAATAATGCTATAATTTCTTAATAATGGAACTGCATACTATTGCTGGAATTACAGTCTGATTACCAGATTTAGGCAGAAGGGATGGACTTGTAGGCTGCTTAATTGTTGCCATTTTTAGCTGCTCTTGTAAGGATTTCATCTGCTCTTGCAACTTCTTTAATTCATCTAGGAAAGAAAAATATATTGATTTAAGATCCACAGCAGAAGAAATATTATACATGATAAAAATGCTGGAATTATTTTTGGTGTCCACACCCCACCCTGAAACCCTGAGACCCACAATATAATCACATACTGAGAGCTACCATTAACTTTTGCACTTCAAAGAGGTCCCTCAGAGAAATAAACTTTGTATTTTCAGTAATCAAGCCTCTAATATCTAAACTAGTTATGAACTGGTACTACTGACAAATATCAGATATATATACCCAGTTAACAAGTTTTTAGGTGTCAGGGAATGATTATTATCTCATAAACTGAATACCATAATTAATACAATAAATGCTGACTCCTCTATTAGAAGAAACAGCCAACCACTGAATTTGATTAGAATTTCAAAATATGTAAGGCAATGTCACAAATAAAAGGGCACTCCTCAAAGCTTCTGTTCAGAAATGGTCTCCTGCCCAAACAGAATGAGGAGAAGGCTACAGTGCTGCCCCTGGCTCCAAATGCATATAAATCTCTAAGTAAGATTTTTCTGTAACAGGCACAAAAGATGGTGGAGCCATTCTGGGAAGGACCAATTACAGCTGGCTGACACTGGGACAGGGGGCCTCTGCATGCTGAAATGCTGGCCCTAAATGTCTCATCTACTAATTCCCACCCTTTTTTTTGGCCAAGTCATTTATCTCCATCCTGACTCAGCAACTATTTTGATGAAAACTGTCAGATCCATCCATTCTATCTTGAAGAAATTAGAAAAGCAAGTAGTTAGGGCACCTTGCAACTCTTGATTAGTTTTCCCCTGATTGGGACCAGGCGCGGGGAGGACTCTATTTTTAGGCGATTGCTGCGTGGGAACTTCTTCTTCATCTGTTAAGTCCCCCATATCTCCAAAAAGAGTGGCCAAATTTTCCTTTCCGTCTTCAGTCTCTCCCAGTTCTCCATCAGCAGCCTCCTCTGAATAAGATTCACCGTCACCATCTGCATCAAAGAGCTCGTCATATGCGTCAGGTTCACCATCCTCCAGGGTCAAGGGGTGACTCTCTTCTGGACTACAATCCAAGGCGGACTCATTCTCCTCCAGTAGTGCAGTCAGCAGAGACAAATCATCTTCCTCCCCTGGGAAGAAAGAAGAAGGATAGAAAGTAAACCTACGAGGGCGCCTGGGTGGCTCAGTTGGTTAAGCAACTGCCTTCAGCTCAGGTCATGATCCTGGAGTCCAGGGATCGGGCTCCCTGCTCATCAGGGAGTCTGCTTCTCCCTCTGACCCTCCCTCCTCTCATGCTCTCTCTCTCTCTCAAATAAATAAATAAAATCTTTAAAAAAAAAAGAAAGTAAACCTACCTGAGAAAAACCAACAATGACAAGCAGAGTGAATTAAAACATTCACCATTAATAAGGCAATTGAAATGACTCTGCTAATTCACCATTTTGCCTGGTAAAACTGTTGTTCTTGGTCCCTCTTTCCTCTTTCCAGGTGCTTAGAGTGCACTGGGCTAAGGAGGAAGGGGCTAGTATCTGCTTAGTGAACCTAGTGGGCCATGCATGGGGCTGCATCTTTTTACCTGTGCTACTTCAGCTGATGAGCAACTGCCTGTATGCTGACTTCCAAGAAACCCAACCCATAAAGGGAATAATCCAAAAACACACTAAACCTACATTTAGGCTCTTTTTAATTGTTTGAGGGAAAAAAATTTCAAGTGTAGAAAAGGTACAAAGAATTACATAAAATGTACTTATATTTCATCACCCAGAATTAGCCATTTATCATGTTTGCTTCTTGCCTTTATGTTAGATAACTTAAAAAGTTTATTAAGTTCATTGTGCCAAATCTTAGCTCAATTCCTTCCACTGCCTCCATGCCCCATTGCAATAAGTATCATAATTTTGGTATATCATTCTAGTCTATTTTTCATTCAACATTGCATGTATGATTGACCTAAATCAAAACATATAGTTCTAGTTTACTTCTTTCAGTTGCTAGAAGGCATTCCATAGTAAGACTATCACATTTTATTAACCCATATTTTTAATCCAATAAAGGACATATGGGCTATATCCAATTCTTTCCCACCACAAACTATGCAGCAACCACGAATGCGTCTTGCAATATGTGTTTCCTGGAAATACCTATCAGAAGTGGAATTGCTGGACTGTTGGGTATGCACATTTTCCAACTTTCCCAGATACTGCCAAACTGCTCCCAAAGTGGTTATACCCTCACTTGCATTGCACGCAAGTACCATTTCTTCTTACTCCTCACCAATATCTGATATGTCGCTTAAAATTTCTTGCTAGTCTGATGGATAATTTTAAAAGGCATCTCATTGTTCTGATTTGCATTTCCAGCATTCTCATAAGGCAAAGAATTGCTTATGTTTATTGGCCCTTTGGATTTCTTCTTTCTTGATTTGTTTATTTTCTGTGTCCATTTTTTTCTATTTGGGCATAATCCTTTATAAATCTGAGCCATTTTAAAGCAAAGACATTAAGGATATTTCATGTACCCCCTTCAACTCAAAGATAAGGGCTGAAGTCCAGAGAGGTCAAAGGCCTGTTCAGGACCATATGGTGAAAGAGGTCAGCGAGGGAGCCAGTAGCCAAACTCATGGCCTAGAATCTGATAAAAGGGTCTAAATCTTAAAGTCAGAGGTTGCATAATAATTTGTCTGAATTGCTTAGTCAACAAACACTACAAAACTGCAGGATGCAGCAAGAGAGAAGAGGCAATCTGGCTCCCTGTGCTCTGGGTGAGACTGCCACGTTCCCTCAAGAGAGCCAAGAGGCCCTCCCCTGTCTTATTCCCAGCTGTGGATGGAAGAGAGCACACCCCAAGAAGAGGCCTCGGCTCACACCACTGGGAGCCCCAGGGGACAAATGTGGCCAAGTGGCTCCATCCCTTCCTTGAACCCAGTTTCTTTCATGAGAGCACCAGGTCTAATCCTGTGATACCTCCCATCCTGGTTTAACTCAGTCACCACTGAAAATCCTGTCTTCTCCATGTTATGCCAACCCAATCTCCCTGCTTCATCACTCCATTTATACACTGGATCTTCTTCCTCTCAGCTCCTCAAGGACTTAAGTCTGTAAGCACCAGCTCTCTTCCCCACATCACTCATTATATTCCCTGTCTTCTGGAGCATTTCTCTCAGCATACAAATTCATTCTAGTGTCTTCCAACGTACCAACTACCTAATATTTTCCTACTTGTTACTATCTTGCTCTCTGTACTAGAACTGAAGCAGGAATATTGTTCAACCATGTATCCCTAGCACCAGTAAATGCTCTGATTTCGTCTATACCGGACCAAATTGTTAACACCGTGCCAATCAAATGAATGTTTATTAGATACAGTATCTTAGAGAACACATACCATTCACCACTTATTTTCATAACTGTCTCCTAGCAAATATTTATACTTTATATTACATTAATCGCCCTGAAGGTAATTTGATGATTTTCGGAAACAGGACACTATTAATTTACCAAAGGTACAATCAACGTCACATGTTATTATAGTGTGAAGAGTTTCAACATTTGGTTCTACTTTTTTGAAAAGGGCAGGGTATAAAATTAGAAAGGACTATAAGAGTTTAACCCAGAGCTAGACTAAAACCATTTCAACAGACTTCAATATTAATCGTGAACTCTGAAGTCAAACTTCAGGGGTTCAAATCCCTGCTCTGGAAGTCTCACCTGTGACAAATTACTAAACATCTGTCTTCCACTCTAAAAAATACAGTTGCTCAGAGGACTAAGGCAGTTAATATAAGTAGGGACCTTAGAACAGTGCTTGGCACATTGTAAGTACATGCCAACTATCATTATTATGAAAGACAATCACTGCTGCCAGGAGATACAATCCCACCTGATTAAAACAAGTAACATTCACTGACTGAAGTGAGATCGTCTCTGAACCACTCAGACAATACTTGAGGGAGGGGTAATACCTATTTTCACTATTTTGCAAGTAGAATAAATGGACACAAGGGTGGTTTTGCATAAAACAAAGAGAACTTACCATCCATGCTGTCAAGGGAACAGTTGTGATCAAGAACTTCCAAGAATCAGGTGCCCAGGAGATGGCAGTAATGTCGAATCTTGGCTACGCTATGAAATGAACATGGGAAAAGTCACCCTTGATTGTTCCCTCTCTCACATTGCATATGTAACAAATCTAGGATCACACAAATCCTATGGGCTTGAAGCTCAGAATTCATCCAGAATCTGACCACTTCTCATCCCCACCTACCAACACCATCTCCCTTTATCCTGACTCCAAACTATGGTTATAGAAACTCGGTTGAGGTATAGATTACATGGATGGGAGAGACTGTGAACAAGTATTATTGAGGATGGCCTAAATATTAGGGCTATTATCCCATTTTATTTACTGTGAGACATGTGCTGGCTTCCTTATTCATAGCAGTCTAGTGTGTGGTTCTACTCAGTTGCAGCCTTAGTCACATCAGTATTTTGATTCAATACTACTCAGCAAAACTCAAAAGAGTTGGCAGAACTAAGTAGGGTAAATTCGTATTATTCCATGCACTTTCCTTTTTTCATTTAATTGATTTATTTAAAAAGATTTTATTTATTTGAGAGAGAGTGCGCATAAGCCAGGGGGAGGGGACCGGCAGAGGGAGAAGGAGAAGCACGATCCCCACTGAGCGGTCTCCAAAAAAAGGCTCCATCCCAGGACCCTGAGATCAATGACCTGAGCCCAAGGCAGATGCTTAACCGACTGAGCGACCCAGGTGCCCCCATTTAATTGATTTTAATAACTGCAAGAAAAAAGTATAAATTTTTCTACACTATTATTTAACAAATATGAGCTTTATAGCTAACCTTGGTATGTCTGTCTAGTATCAATTATGATGCTTTCTTTTTAGTTATTCAACAAATATTTTCATGGAACTACCGTGTGCACCACACTGTGTTGTCTCCTGGGTAACCTGCTGGATTGTAAGCTTCCTGAGGGTTAGGCAACTGTTGTATTCATCTCTATAACCAACCACCTTTCCCTGCCCCAAAGCTGTGTACTCTACCTCACTCTCACATTCAGTATCACCCAACAATTGCTACTGGGTCTGTCTCCAAAATATTGCTCAATCTTTTGCCTGAACGACTGCATGAGCGCCTGGTATTGGTCTCTTTGATGTCTTCGTTATACAGCAGCCACTGTAATCTTTTCTTTCCTTAATAATCTTCTAGGAATGTAAATCAGATCGTGGTATTCCCTTAATAAAAAGTCTTTAATGGGGGCACCTGGGTGGCTCAGTCGGTGAAGCGTCTGCCTTGGCTCAGGTCATGATCTCGGGGTCCTGGGATGGAGCCCCATGTGGGGCTCCCTGCTCAGTGGGGAGTCTGCTTTTCCCTCTCCCGCTCTCAATCTCTCAAATAAATAAATAAAATCTTTAAAAAAAAACCCTCTTTAGTGATTTTTCATTGCTTGAGCTAAATTTAAAAGTCTATGAGGAAATGGGTACTGTCTCCCTTGCCTACTTCTCCTCAGTCAGACTAGCCTGCCTTCAACTTCCTGAACACACCGAGTGCTCTCAGGCCTCAGGCTCTTTAGAAAGCGCTCCCCTAGCTCCTTCTCACCCTTCGGGCTCCTCGTAGGCATCGATTTTTCTGAGCCTTCCAGACCACCCTACCTAGTGGCCCCGTTGGATCCCTCTCACACCTCATCCTTTTCGCGACTTTACTGCACTTTCCACTGTGGTGCCCTTGTTTGTTACGTTACTCTCCTTAGAGTCTACTCTTCATGAGGGCACAAATAATTCATAAATAATTTAGGTTTGGAGGCCTGCACATGGCACACATTCAATGATTAGCAAATCATGAACTTAAAAAAAGAAATGAACGAACAAATAAAAGTCTACACGGCACGCGGGCATCTTAAAAGGCTCCTTTAGGGGGCGCCTGGGTGGCTCAGTTGGTTAAGCGACTGCCTTCGGCTCAGGTCATGATCCCAGGGTCCTGGGATCGAGCCCCACATCGGGCTCTGTGCTCAGCAGGGAGCCTGCTTCTCCCTCTGCCTCTCTCTCTCTCTCTGTCTCTCATGAATAAATAAATAAAATCTTTAAAAAAAAAAAAAAGGCTCCTTTAGGGAAAAAACCAAACCCGGCCCCTTAAGTTGAGAGGACCGCCCGACGCCTGGCACCTCGCCGGTGCATCTGAGAGGCGCCCCTACCTTTCGGCCGCTCCTCACCCGGCGCCCACCTGGCCGCTCGGACACCGCGCTCGCCCGGTCTCGCCCGCCTGACTTCCACGGGCTCCGCGCCTCTCGCTCTCGGAGCTCTCCAAACCCTCCCGCAGACCTTCGTGGCAGCCCCTCTCCCCTGCCGCCGGAAGGCCACCCACATACCCAGACCCCGGCCTCTTACCCTACTCCGAACTCGTTCCCGTCCTACAGCCAGACCCGCCAAAATTCCAACTTGATTCCACCCCCCCCTGACGCCAGACGCACGCCGGCTTAAGGCCGCGCTGATTGGCTACGTCGCGAAAGGCCGACCTTGCGTAGAGCAATCTGATTGGCCCACGTAACGGGGCGCCCTCCCTGTTGGGGGCAAGGAAACTTCCGGTCGGTGAAGCCTTGGGCTCCTCTAGACAGAATAAAGTGTTCTGGCGCCTCCCAGCGCGGGGAAGTTTGGGTCGTCCTGTAGGGTATTTTTACAGAAGGTCGGAATTCCTGACACTCTGGGACGGTGTCATCCAATCCTTCTGAGCCTCATTTTCTTTCTATGAGGTGGAAGGGTAACGCCTGAGGCCAAGAAGCCTGCGCATACACACTTAAACAGGGAGCACATTCCAGACGTTTCTCCTGCCCTCACAAATGTCCTGTGGTTGGATTGATCCTTGAGAGGTCTAAATCAGCTGGTTGATTATTTCACAACCTCTTGTGTTCAACTGAGATGACTGGACTCAAAAACAAAAATCTGGTTCACCTTTAATTCTGTATGACCTTGGGGAACTAACTTATGCCCTTGGGGTTCTGCATCCCCATCTGTAAAATGAGCCTTGAAGTCTAGACGACATTCTTTGACGCAGTAGAAACCATTTCTTTACAGAGGAATTTGTGGTGTACAGACTTGGAGAATTGTAACTGGTGTCAGACTAACTTGTTAGGGAGCCATATTTTTCACAGGATATTTTTTTAGTAAAATTAAGACTTTTTTTTAGGTATTTACATGCTAAAAAGGGTGCTTGTACATAATTCTGAGAACTGCCCTAAGTGCAGGATTATATTTAGCTTCTACAGAATTTAAAAGAATTCAAAGGATTTTTGGTGGAGCAAGTGATGATTTTTTAATTAACTTTTTAAATTAAAATTTTAGTCAGTTAACATACAGTGCAATATTGGTTTCTGGAGTAAAACTCAGTGATTCATCACTTACATACAACACCCAGTGCTCATCATAACAAGTGCCCTCCTTAATGCCCATCCCCCATCTAGACCATCCCCCAACCACCTCCCTCCATCAACCCTCATTTGTCCTCTGTCCTTAAGAGTCTCTTAGGTTTGTTTCTCCCTCTCCTTTTTTTTCTTTTCCCCCTTCCCTTATGTTCATCTGTCTTCTTTCTTAAATTCCACATATCAATGAGATCATATAGTATTTGTCTTTCTCTGACTTTCAAATAACAATTTTAAGTCTTTTTTTATCCCTCTCTCACAGGCTCTATTCAGGCCCTGCATCCCCCCCGCTAATTATTTCATGTAAGATTGTATCTCTATCCATTGTGTTTGCCTTCATTTTCAGAAAAACTAAAATCAGCTTCATGTTGATGAAAATAAACAGTCTGGATACCATCTACATTGATTTTTTTTTCTGTGTCCTAATGAAATATTAATGCTCCTTATTATCTGAAATTATTATATTGTCCCAGGAATGGGAATAGTACCCCTTTTGAGAACTGCTAGTGTTGAAAAATTCACAGTAATGGAGGAACTATTGTAATCAAATTGAAGAAAATTAAATGCGTCACTACATCTAATTATAAAGGTTCATCAAAGACTTATTGGCTATGTAGACATTCCTGGACCAATCTGATTTGTTTTCCAAGGTTCTTTTCGTCAACTTGACTTTCCAGGTCCACTTGGCACCCAAATCCATGCAAGAAGTAGAAAACTGTACTGATGAAAGCTCTCAAACTTTCCTCCAGTGAGCGATCGAGAAATTATTGTTAGAATGAGTACAGTGGTGATTTTGAGAAAGAATTAGGAGAGTAGATTCAGGACCCACCGATGGAAGGGAGGGAGGGAGGAAACACAGAAAGGAGTTTAGGGTGTTTTTTGAGGCAATGCACCGAAGTCAGGAAACACAGAATATGTTTAGGGTAGAAGACAGACTTGGTTTCAGCTTTCAGAATGAGATACTTAGGATTTAGAAAAGCTTCATCTCCAGATCTGAGATTCAGAGGAGAGGTCTGCACTGCAGTGATTCTGATCTTTTTGCCACGGAGTGATCACTGACCCCTTTGAGAACAGAACGAAAATGGGTTTTTCTCCCCCAAGAAAAATGTACCCTCATACACTCAAGATTTTGTATACCTTCTGAGGGGATTCACATATTTTCCCAAAGACACTCTTCAAATTAAGAGCCTCTGGTGTAGAAGGCCAGAACCTGAGGCATGTGAGCCAGCGACAGAAACTAACAGGAGAAGCCGGAGTGGTTAGGAAAGCAGTCCCACGCTTAGCCCTAGATCTGGGCCTGACCTTCACATGGCCTTATGCTGGTCTTCATCTAGCTGTGTCCCTCACCGCAGAGTGAAGTGTCCCGGAGCTAAGGGATGCACTCATCCAAATCCTGGGCAATGCCTTGTAGCCAAAGCTCTCGTCCTGGGGCTTTTTTTTACCCTATGGCTCTGGGTCTGCTTTGAGGCCTGGCAAGTCCTCTTCCCTTGGTTGTCCTTCGAGGGCAGATCCCTCTGCCGAAGAGGTGGCTATTTGGTGGTGGGTGGGTTGCGGGTAGAATGGGAGTTAAAGGGAGTTTGAATAGCAGGCAGCGGTGTCCCCACACTTGGAGAAAGGCTGCCAAGTGCTACACAGAACTGAGTCCAGGTGAGAAGAGAAGGAGGGTTTGCAGGGCTGGAGCCATGTTTCTGTGTGAAACTCCAAGGAGACTATGAGCTTTATCTCTAAACTTTAAAACTTTACACATAGGATCTTTGTTTGTATTCTGGCCCCAGAGTTTTCCGGTGTAAGGGGTGGGCCTGCAGGAAAGAGATGGCCTAGGATGCCAAGGAAGGAGAGTGTTAAGAAGGAAATGGCAAATGTCAATGTGATATAGCAGGGCTTCTCCAAGTCTGGTCGCTGGGGCAGCAGGTGCAGCAGCCCCTGGGAACTTGTGAGAAACCAAATGCACACGCCCCACACCAGACCTGCTGAATCAGAAACTGAGGTTGGGAGCCAACATTCCGTGTTCAGCCTTGTGATCGCTGCATCTTTCTACAGCAGTGGTTCTAAAACTTTAGAGGGCACCAGAGTCACGGGAGGGCCTCTAAAACAGATCACAAAACAAGAAAGGGAGAAGTGAGTGGGCTCCAGCCTCCTTCCCCCAAATGCCACTGGGCCCTAGGGCTCAGTACCTCCCTCATCACCCCTGCTAGAGGTGCTCATTCTCCACGTCCGCGTCCACTGCGCCCCCCCCCACAATCTTACAGATCTCTTGCATCTCCTGAGCTCACCCCCTTCACTACATCCTCACTTTTGTGACCCTCCTTGACCTCTGGGCACCTCTATCCTTTTTACTTCTAATTGATCTATATCTGATCTCACTTACTCCAATCCATTTCTCTTATTGCTCCCGATTATGACAAAATCTTGGCCTGGATTTTCCCTGAACAAAATTTGTCAATGGCTCCTCTGTTCCTGTAATCCCAAACTTCTTGCCACTCAAGAACTTGACTTACAGATTTGAGTCCTGCCTACTTTTCCACGAACCTCAGCTCTTCTCTTTCCCCATGGAATCAGCCTTTCTCCCAGTCACAGCTGAGCTGGGATTTTCCTCTTCCGAAATATTCCGGGCTCTGGCATGCCTCAGAGCCTTTGCACATGCAGACCCCTCTGCTTAAAGAGCCTCAACCACTGGATCACCTCCTTTGTGAAGCCCCTCTGACCCTTCGGACTAAGCAGTTCACCAAGTATGGTGCTTCGCAGAACTCGAGACTGGGAAGGCACACAGAACTTTCACACTGCATCCTGATCGTGGGTGTCTTCTGCTTCTCACTGTGGTGTCCTCATCTGGAGGCGAGGGAACTACTCTTGTTCATCTATCTCTTCTATGTCTTCCCTCCTGCTACTGGTGGCTGGCACACAATAAATGTTCCAGAAAGAAAAAAAACCCGAATAGAGTATTTGCTCCTTAGCAAGTCCTTTAGCATCTGGGGGCTCAGTTTTCTTCCTCTGGAAAGTGCTGATATCAGCAGGATGTGGATTAGAGGCTATTTTAGAAGGGCTCAAAGGAGAATTTCCAGGACATTTTCACACACCAGTTATCAGCCATAATCTCTTCCTGCCTCAGGTGCACACGGTGTTGGACAAAGATGTGGTCCATATTCTAGGAACTTACAGTCCAATTTGGGAGATGGGACATATACATAAAATATAAATAACATAAGGTGACAACCAATGGGCACCAATCTTGCTGGGGAGGAGGGAACAAACAGATGAGGTAGAACATTGAAAGACCGTATGGAAGATGAACACCAGGCCAAGAATTATATTCTGTAAGCAGTGAAAGGGTTTGAGCAGATTGGGGAGGAAGATCGGTGTGAAGAGGAAGGGAGCGGCTAAGTGCTTAGACTCAAATTAATTAAGACTGCGTGGTTATTAACTGCCGGCCACATGCTAACTGTGCAACCTTGGGTCAAGTACTTAACCTCTCAGTGCCTCCACTCACTCATCTGCAAGACAGGGCTAGTGATAGTTATTTCACAGGGCATTGTGAGGATTAATGAGAAAAACTTGAAAATACGCATAGTGTGCCCAGCACAGGTCAGGGTAAGTGTGTATTAACTTCTATTCTTGCTACTTTTGTAAAGTGTTGCTTAGGGACTGTGAGCTAACGAAGACAGGTGCCCCGGAACTGAACATACCAGAAACTGGAGGCACAGAAGCCCAGTTAAAGATCGTGACAGTTTCAGATTGCCAGAGTTCAAGGGAAGGGACCCGTGAAAGGCATTATGAAGGAAACCTTGTCTGCTTTGGTCACTGGCTGAAGAAAGTAACTTCTGGCAGGAAAAGGAGAGGACGAGGGCCAGGCTGGCCACACCTGGGCGCCTGGCAGAAGTGCAGAAATGGACTGGAGTGTCCAGGAGGAGCTTGCTGTGGACAGGGGGGAGATGGCAAGTTCAGTCTGAGGCGAAGGTGCGGATTTCAGCAGGTACTTTTAGCTACGTGACCAAAGCCAGGGGGATGTGGCAGGCCTTCACGTGCAGGTCTGCGGGGAGGTTTAGTGAGTATACTTGCATTCTCCAAAGCAGAGACTGTAGAAGCAGAATACTCTTCAGTATGTCTACCTGGTTAATGCACCAGATGATTACATCACTTCCTGCATCTTTGGGCCTGACAGGCAATGCTATTCAAAATCAGAAAATCAGACTAGTTTCCAAAGCTCCTCCACCACCATCTCCTCCCTGTAGATGTCTGTTTACATCTGCATTCGTATCTTCCTTGCTCAATGTGCAGAACTCTCTCAGGTCTTATCCCAAACTTGAGTTTGTCTGACTGGACAAAGATCCTGCACTGAGAAAAATGTTATCCTTGCTCAGAGGCAACCCTCTACCTAGAAAAAGAGGGAAATCCCACCTCCTTGATTTTGCTAACAGAATACTGTCTCTGTTGTGCAAATAAGTCTATTGCTTTTCAATCAACCTAGAAGTTACTTTAAACAATGGGGTATGTTCCTCCATCTACTTACCTCAACTGATGTTTTCCAAAGGGAAGCCAATAAAACCACCAGCCTTGCTGGTTTTAATTAATTCGTAAGACTGTTCAACACATTTCTTCCTTGGTTTTGCTGGGTTTATAGCCCAGCAAATAATAATAAAACATAATACACATATATGTAAAATAAATTTTACCCATAATTATGGCTCTGTGTATTTAAAAACCAAAACTGCTACACAAATCTATCAACTTAGAGTTTCTGAATGAATACTTTTTGTATATTTCCCATCTTTGCAAGTACTTAGCTAGAAAAAATAACAAATTACTCACTGATGACTAACATTTTTTGCAACAAGAGTACATAATGTTATTTTAGTAATTTTTAAAATGATGAAATCTGTAAATCGAAGGATTCGAAAGACTAAAATTATTTCTACTTTTTATTTGCTTCTCAGAGCAAAGCAGTTTTGGTATCTTTCATTGTTCCACTAAGACATTTGAATGTTGGTTCATAGACTTGATTCCTGTTATACTGAAAAGCTGCAACCAGCTCTTGTATCAACTTTCCTCCATTGAATTAATGATGGCATAATAAATTAATTTCATTAAAGCGATTCTAAGTTAGCCCTTTCTTTCATTATGGGTCAAATGGAAGTGTTAGCCGATCTTCACAAGAATTATGATTTTATGACACACACAACACATTTTATGTTCATTTTAAATAATCTTGTGGTTCAATTTTTTTTCATTTTTAAGAAAATAATGGACTTCATTTTTTAACTTTTTTATTGTTTTTAAAAAAGATTTTATTTATTTATTTGAGAGAGAGCAAAAGCGAGAGAGAGATCACAGAGGGAGAAAGCAGACTCACTGCTGAGCGGAGAGCCCGATGCAGGGCTCAGTCCTAGGACCCTGGGATCATGACCTGAGCCAAAGGCAGATGCTTAACCAACTGAGCCACCCAGGTGCCCCGAACTTTATTTTTTAGAACAGTTTTAGGATTACAGAAAAATTGAGTGCAAGGAATAAAGTTCCCATAAAGCTCCTTCCACACACAGTTTCTTCTATTATTAACAACTTACACTAGTATGGGACATTTGTTATAATGGATGAGCCAATATTGATACATTTTTTGATACATTATTTTTAACTGAAGTCCACAGTTTACATTAGGATTCACTCTTATGTTTTATATTCAATGGATTTTGACAAATGTAGCCACCATCACAGTATCATGCAGAACAGTTTCACTGCCCTAAAAATCCTCTGTGCTCTCACCTATTCATCCCTCCCTTCACCTAACCCCTGGCAATCAATGATCTTGTCTCCATATACTGACTTTTCCAGAGTGTCATACAGTTCAAATCATACAGCATATAGGCTTTTCAGAGGGGCTTCTTTCACTTAGCCATATGCATTTAAAGTTCCTCCATGTCTTTTTGCAGTTTGATAGCTTATTTCCTTTTAGCGCTGAATCATATTCCATTGTATGGATGTACCACAGTTGGTTTATGCATTTGCCTATTGATGGACATCTTGGTTGCTTCCAAGTTTGGGCAATTATGAATAAAGCTACTGTAAACATTCATGCGCAGGTTTTGTGCGGACATAGTTTTCAATTCATTTGGGTAGATACAAAGGATTGCACACTTAATTTTGCAAGAAACCACTGGACTGTCTTCCAAACTACCATTCTGCATTTCCACCAGCAATGAATGAAAGTTTCTAGTATCTCACATCCTCCTCAGCTTTGGTGCTGTCAGTGTTTTGGATTTTAGCCATTTTAACAAGTGTGTGGTGATATCTCATTGTTTAAATTTGCAATTCCCTAATAACATGTTGTTGAGCATCTTTTAAAATGTGTTTATTTACCAAGTGTACATCTTCTTTGGTGAGGTATCTATTATCTTTTGTCCATTTTTAAAGTGAGTTGCTTTCTTGTTGCTGAGTTTTAAGAATTCTTTGTATATTTTGAGACCAGTCCTTCCTTCATTAGATAATGGGTTTTGTAAAGATTTACTCCCACTCTGTGGCTTGAGTTTTATTTTCGTGAAAGGTATAAGGCCTGTGTCTAGATTCATTTTTTTTACATGTGGATATCCACTGTTTGTTCCAGCATCACTTATTAAAAATACTATCCTTTCTCCATTGAATTGCCTTTTCTCCTTTATCAAAGACCAGTTGACTACCTGGGTCTATTTGTGGGCTCTCTGTTCTGCTCCACTGATTTATTTATCTATTTGTCCATTCTTTCACCAATACCACAATCTTGATTCCCATAGCTTGAGAGTAAGTCTTGTAGGCAGGTAGTGTCTCTCCTCCAACTTTGTTCTTCTCCTTCAATATTATGTTGGCTATTCTGGGTCTTTTGTGTCTCCATATAAACTGTTAGAATCACTTTGTCAATAACCACAAAATAACTTCTTGGGATTGTATTGACTCTGTAGATCAAGTTGGGAAAAACCAAAATCTTGACAATACTGAGTCTCCCTATATATGAACATGAAATATCACTTCATTTATTTATATTTAGTTCTATGATTTCTTTCATCAGATCTTATGTTTTATTAGATTCATACCTAAGTATTTAATTTTTTGGTACTAATGTGTTATTGTGTTTTTAAAGTTTAACCATTCATTGCTGGTATACTGATATTGGTAATTTGTGTCTTCTATTTCCTTAACCCAGCTAGAGGTTTATCAATTTTGTTGATCATTTCAAAGAACCAGCTTTCAGTTTCATTTATTTTCTCTATTAATTTCCTGATTTGAATTTCACTGATTTGTGTTCTAATTTTTATTATTTATTTTCTTCTGCTTATTTTGTGTTTTATTTGCCATTCCTTTTCTAGTTTCTTAAAGAGGAAGCTTCAATTACCGATTTTACATCTTTCATTCAATGCTATACACTTCTTGCTAAAGCATGGCTTCCACTTCAGCCCACAAACTTTGTGTTATATTTTCATTTCATTTAGTTTAAAATTTATTTAAATCTCTCTTGAGAATTCTTCTTTAGCCCATGTATTACTTACAAGTGTGTTAAATCTCCAAATGTTTTTTTGAGGGTTTCCAGGTATCTTTCTGTTTTTGATTTCTAGTTCAATTCCATTGTGGTATAAGAGCATACTGTGTATGGCTTATCTTTTTTTAAATTTGGTAAGGTGTTTTTTTATGGCTCAGAATGTGTTCTATCATGGTGAATGTTCTCCATGAACTTGAGAAAAATGTGTACTCTGCTATATTTAGAATATGAAGTATTCTATAGATATCATTTAGATCTTATTGATAGTGTTATACAGTTCAACTATGTCCTTACTAATTTTTTTGACTACTGGGTCTGTTAATTACTGATAAATTTTGAATTTTCTACCTGTATTAGTGGATTCATCTATTTTTCCTGCAATTCTATCGGTTTTTGCCATATGCATGTTGATGCTCTCTTGTTAGGTGCATATGCATTTAGGACTGTTATCTTTCTTGGATAATTGACCCTTTCATCATTCTGTAATGTCCCTTTTTATTCCTGACAATTCTTGCTTTGAAGTCTTCTTTAAATCAATTTGGTTACTCTAGCTTTCTTTCTTTCTTTTTTTTTTTTTTTTAAAGATTTTATTTATTTATTTGACAGAGAGAGAGATAGCGAGAGCAGGAACACAAGCAAGGGGAGTGAGAGAGGGAGAAGCAGGCTTCCCGCTGAGGAGGGAGCCCAATGTGGGGCTCGATCCCAGGACCCTGGGATCATGACCTGAGCCGAAGGCAGACGCTTAATGACTGAGCCACCCAGGCGCCCCTCTAGCTTTCTTTTAATTAGTGTTAGCTTGCTGTTTCTTTCTCCATCTCTTTATATTTAAAGTGGGTTTCTTATAGACTGCATATAGGTTTTTAAATATTTTACTCCCTTCTTCCTGCTTGCATGATTTCTGAAGAGAGGTCTGATATATTTCTTATCCTTGCTCCTCTACACGTAAGATTTTTTTCTTTCTGGCTTCTTTCAAGATTTTCTCTTTGCCCTTGATTTTCTGCAGTTTGAATACAATATACCTAGGTGAAGATTTTTTGATATTTAATCTGCTTGGTGATCTCTGACCTTCCTGATCTGTAGTTTGGTGTCTGTCGTTAATTTTTGAAAATTTTCAGCCATAATTACTTAACACAATCTCTTTCTTTTCATGCTGATATTCTCATTGCACGTATATTACATTTAAAAAAATTGTCCCAGTTCTTGGATATTCTGTTTTCATTCTTTTTTCTCTCTGCATTTCAGTTTTAGGAGTTCCTATTGACATTGCTTCAAGCACAGAGATTCTTTCCTTGGCCATGTTCAGTCTTTTCATGAGCCCATGAAAGGCATTCTTCATTTCTGTTACAGTGTCTCTGATTTCTAGTATTTCCTTTTGATTTTTTTCTTATAGAGTTTCCATCTGTCTGCTTATATTACCCCCCGTTTCCTGCATGTTGTCACCTTTCCCATTAGAGCCCTTAGGATACTAACCATAGTTGTTTTAAATTTCCAGTCTTATATTTATCACACCTGATGCCTGCTCTATCTTTTCAAACTGTGTTTTTTTTTTAATATGCAGTATAATTTCTTGTTGAAAAATGGAAATGATGTAGCAGGTAAAAGGAACTGAGGTAAATAGTGTGAGGTTTTATGTTTACCTGGCTACGAGCTGGACTATGTTTATTGTCTGCTGCAGCTGTAGGTGTCACAGGCTAAAATCTCCTCTGGTGTCCTTGTTTTGTCTCCCCTTGTTGTCTTTGGGATTCCCTATATACCTCTTCCTTAATAAACCCAAAGATGAGCATTTCTTCCAGTTGTAAGCCCATTATTTTTTTTTCTTCCAAAGATTTTATTTATTTATTTGAGAGAGAGAGAATGAGAGACAGAGAGCATGAGAGGGGGAGGATCAGAGGGAGAAGCAGACTCCCCGCTGAGCAGGGAGCCCGATGCGGGACTCGATTCCGGGACTCCAGGATCATGACCTGAGCCGAAGGCAGTCGCTTAACCGACTGAGCCACCCAGGCGCCCTGTAAGCCCATTATTATATGGGCACCTTGTTGATGTGGTGGTGAAGTAGGTGTGGGGGAGAAGAGTTCCACAGTCCTATGATAAGGTCTTGGTCTTTTACTGAGTTTCTCCCTCTGCACTGTGACCTTCTCACACTTTTTTCTCCTCCTCAGGTGAGAGGAGTAAAGCTGGGGGGGCTGGAGTTGGGTATTTGCTTTCCCCCTGGTCAGTCAGGCTCTGATAATAATCCAGCAGTTTAGGGTCTGGTAAAACAATTTCCCTTGAGGGATGGCATTCCTAGGAAGAAGAGAGTGCGCCGGTGTATTTCAAAATGGCTACTTCCCCCTCCCCCTGCTAAGTCTGGGAGAATTTTTAGAAATCTTCACTATGAGGTTCTTCTAGGGCTCCTGGAGGTAAATCACACAAGTGTGGGGTCCTCTTAAGAATGGGCTCCTATTAGAGTTTTTATGTCTCAAGTTTGTCCACACTGAGCCTTTGGCAAATCTTCAATTATAGTTTAAGTTCTCCTACTCCGGTATTGGCTCCTACTGTGGTTTCTGCTCCTGAGACCCTGATCTGGTAATCTGCGACTCTCTGTACCTGTCTGGCTGTCTCTCCAACTTGTGGGCAGTGGTTTGCCCTGTGACTTCAGTTTTCTGAGGGATTTAAAAAGAGTTGGTGATTCTGAGTCTGTTCAGCCTTTTCCTTGTTAGGAGGATGGGAGTGATGACTTTCAAGCTCCTTACATGCCAAACTAGATCAAAACCATTTTAAAATACGGCACTTGAAGACTTATTATAATCTTATTTAGCTGTAAAATTTTCATTGGTTCATTGCTATTTCTTCCCAGTTCTCATCTCTCTATTGCTCCCATTTAGCCACACTTTGAGAACACAGGAGAGCGGTGGGTTCCAGAAGAGAGGCTGACATTCCAGTGAAGTGTCATTACCTGGTAACATGGGAGCTAGGTCTCCGAAGAGACTAAATTAGTTAGAGAAGACATGCATAGAGTTTACAAGCTGTTTACCAAAATGTTTGCTTCCCTCAGTACAATGGCTTTAATTTAAACTGACTATATGAACTTGCCTTCATTTGCAATCCTTTGAATTATCCAGCCAACAATTTGATCACAGCTCTAATAAGCCCACTCACATTGTTACTTCAGAGTTGGGATCAGCTTAATATTTTTACTTGAACAGCATAAAAGGATCGTCCCTTAACATTTAAATGTGAAACCATTTGGGTTGCTTTTCTATTTAAGACACTAGAGAAATCTATTTCCTCAAATACAAAATAGTAAGGAAAAAAAATTTAAACTAGAAACTATAAACAAGAAGTTAAAATGAAAATTTCATGGTTATTTTAGACATGTCTTTAATAAGCATTCTCCCTGGAGTGAGGTGGGAGAATCTAAGTTACTGGTGAATCTGTGCAGTGTGTTCTCTTGGCATGAAGACAGAATTAACTGTCTTGATTCCTGGTTTTAAAAAACATATATGGATACACATATGTGTGTGTGTAGTAAATCAAGCTGCCTAAGAGAGATTATTATGACAAACCCAAACAGAGTATATCTTTTAATTTTCTTCTAAATGTTTTAGGATATAGAAACACAAAGACACTTTACTTTTATGACTGGCCCAGTATTAGCTAATCTCAGTGAACTGTGGGTTTACAAAATATAGCAAATCCCTATCTTTTCACTTCCTTAGCAAGATTAATTTCTAATTCAAACAACACATACTAGTCTTTAGTAAGGGGGTTGCTTATATTCATAGAATTTGCAAAACAGATTTGAATAAGTATTAAGCTTATATGAAGCTGAATATGGGAAACATCCCATGAACGTGGCCAACCATATATGAACAATGTGAACAACTCCAAAGAAAAATTTTATTTTGCAATACACCTATTTTTGTGATTATGAATATATGGCCTCATCCAGGGAAATTAATAGACAGCTGTTCTTTTTTAGAAATTAATAAACTATCTACTGTACAAACCCATATACCTGGGGCTACAATGAAACCAGTGAACCTAATGTATGTTCCTCATGTACGCCAGTATGTTTTCACTTGTCCCAATGATTAAGTAAAAGCCCACAGCACTTGTATGAAAACAGGCCCATCATAACTTTGGTACAATTACTGCAGCAGCAATAAAACTATAACATACACACAACCTCATATAGACGTATCTTAAATGGATGAAGAAAAATAACAATAATAATTTATTTAAAAAAAAAAAACTCCAAAGATATTTTTCTTGATTAAATCTGTGACCACTTCATTTTTCCTGCCTCCTTAAAAGATTCTCAGAGTTGATCTGTGAGGCCTCTTCCTTCGGTTACATTTACTCTGTCCCATGTCACATGCTCATTAACTGCATGAACAGTTCAGCCCACATACATGGAACATTAAAAAAAAGAAAGAATCTATTATCAGAAAAGCGGTATGTTCAGGATTCTAAGGAAATCCATAGAAAATGTCCCACTTAGAACATATTTTCTTTCCCCTAAAATAAACATAATGAGGCAAATGTTTGCATGAAAACAAACAACACAAAAGCACAACTCTTGGAGGAAAAAAATCTGATATTTACCAACAGTTTGGGGGGAAGTGAGATGTGAACACTTAAATGATGCAGTCCATAACATGGATCTGGAGTGTGTCTATGTCGGGCAGAACTTCTCCACATTTGGGGCAGGAATGAATTGGAATATTCCGCTGTTGCTGCTGCCGCCAGTTTCTGTCCTCAGCTCCTGGGAATAAGCATTAAATGAAACGCTATTCCATTTCTTCCATGTTGCGAGTGGCTTCGTTTGATTTTAAGTAACAAACGATTAATATTAACACCTGCTCAACTTTGCAACAGATACCTAAAGGGGAGTGAATACAGGGTTTGTTTGGGAGGGAGGGGGTCTTTAACTTAAGAAATCTACACACACAGAGAACACCTCCCAAAATGGTACCTGCTTTCCTATTACTTTGGGATTTGGGCTCTAGTCTGGGTTGTAGGTATGTGAGAATAGAGTGGTTTCAGTTCTAGGTACAGGACAACACGTGCTCTAATAAAAACAAGAATATTTGAGAGAAGGAACCAGACAGATGAAGATATGAGCTACAGAGGATGAGAAGGTGGAGAAAACAGTGAGCAGCAATGGAGAGATATCCTAAGAACAGTGTGAACCTTCTCAGAAGCAGAGCCAATAACTACTTTCACTTGGCCCATGTGTCCGAGCACCCGGGAGGTGGACGAGAGGGGAACAGAGATGGTGGGGACTTCAGGCGAGAAAAGCAACATCAGGAATGCATGAGGGATGGGCTATACTGTGTCATGCACAAGGCAGGTTAGTGGGAGGACAAAGAAGGGCGCCCTGATGAGACCCATTGCACTTGAGAGGAGTTTTAGGCACAGGTAAGGGCTGCCCAGGCAAAGTAAGGGATGAGAAAGAATGGAAGAATGGGTCATGTCATTTCGTCCAATTTTGGAACTGCACCGAGGGTCAAGCCTAAATTAAAGAATGCTCGAAATAAGCCTTGACTCTAAGTAGGTCCCACATGTGCAAACTGTGATCAATGCTGGAAATGACTTCTGGCTCCCGGGACATCGCCTTGGTCTGACCTTTCTGGATCAATGCAAATCATTTTGATCTCAAGACTTTCTGTCAGCCTCCGGAATGTATGTTTTTGGAGGCTGACTGTGGAGGCAACCTTTAACATGGCTTTTGGCTTCTGAGCATATTATTTGAATTGAATAATATGTGAGACTATTGCAGATAGTTTGTGTTCAGCAAACTCCAGAAGCACCCTTGAACAGAAATACTGACAGGGTATGAGTTCTGAAAGTGGGGGACTTTCTAATGGTCCCATGGTCTTAGATCAGGAGTCAGTCAGCTTTTTCTGCTCTAGATGACAACCGGGCACTACTAGGGACTGCTGATTCTTCATTTGAGACTTTCTTGCATCCATCTGTGCCCTTTTTTTTTTTGTCCTGGTCTAGGCTTCAAGACTTAGGCTGTTCTATTAGTCAGTTAACAGGTTCCCTCTACCTCCCGGCTCTCTGCTATAAAATAAGCTTAGTCAGTTTTCATTGTTAACACATCACACTCCTCTCCGCCCTGGACCCTTTATTCTCATACCATACTTATGTAAATCCTAGCTTCAAGGTCAAGTTTAAAGTCACACCTTTTCAAGGCCTTTCTCAACTCCCCTGGCCCTCAGTGATCAACCTGTCCTCTGACCTTCAGCACCATTATTTCTATTACTTAAATATTATCTTGTTTTATGAACCCATCTTTTTATGTGCCCTCCTGTCTCTCCAACCAGGCCACATGCCACCACAGACCTGACCATGCCTTGTGCTCAGCTGAGTGTAGTGGACCAGGGCAGGTGCATTGATGGCCACAGGTGACCATAATGATGAAATACAGTCAAGAGGAGATACTGTTTAAGGCAGCTTTGTTATGAAGCTAAAAAAATTATAATAGTAAAAATAAAATAAAAGAATCTTAAGACAGTCTCTGTTTGGAATACGGCTATTTACAAGACAAAAAGCTTATTAGGATAATCATGAATAAATGTGTACTTTGTGATGATTTTTGGATTATAAATATAAGTAGAAGAGTATGTGACTTTTTTTTTTTTTTTTAACATAAATAGGCATTTGCCTTCTTTAATTATGACAAAAGAAAATCTTCCTCTAAGAAATTCAGGTGCAGGGGCGCCTGGGTGGCTCAGTCATTAAGCGTCTGCCTTCGGCTCAGGTCATGATCTCAGGGCTGGGATCAAGCCCTGCATCAGGCTCCCTGCTCAGTGGGAAGCCTGCTTCTCCCTCTCCCACTCCCTCTGCTTGTGTTCCTACTCTCGCGCTCTCTCCCTCTCTGTCAAATAAATAAATAAAATCTTAAAAAAAAAAAGAAATTCAGGTGCAAGACATTGTCCTTTTGGACCCAAAAGTACCTGTTGCAGGCACTTTTGATAACAGAGGTAAATGGGTGTTTCTGGGATACTTAAAATCAGATTAGAGAAAATGTCTGGTGGTGTTCAAGTGGGTAGACACAGCTTTTGGGGAAGAACACAGCTTTACCCTGTGACGCTAAACATGCCTGAGGCCAACGTTCATGTCAGTCCACAGTAAACTCAGTAAATGCTAACATTATTATGTGCGTAACACCAGGTAATGGACAGCTTCATTAATATGGTACTTAGATGCACATTTAGAACACATAAATAATTATAAAAATTACTTATTATTATAAAATAAAATAGCAGTAATTATAAAATAAAATAGCAGATACAACAGTAAGAGAGTACTTCAGAAATTCAGGAGGAAGAGGTCACATTCTGCTGGAATCATGGAGATGGTATTTGAAATGGGTTTTACAGATGGGGTAGGAGTTCACTGGAAAGAGACGGAAGGGAGGCAGGGAGGTGAGTGAGGGAAGGATGACTCATAAGCAAGTACATGCAGGTATACAGGCCTAGGAGAAGTTCAAGAAACAGGGAGTGATTCAGCTGGCTAACAGCTGTAGAGAATTAGAGGGGGAAAGGTTAAAAGTTCAGCTACACCAGGCTTTACTGTCAGTATGAAGAGAGTCTGGTGTCTGGATTCAGTCGGTAATGGATGAAGAACAGGGTACACTGGAAATAAGACTGAGGGGTGCTATATTTTTCGCAGTTTGATCTGGAATTCATTGTGCAGAATGTAGTGAAATTTGTCTTCAAGCATTTTCTTCACAGGATAGTTATTCCTTGGAACCCTGAACACCTACAATCACACGTGACTCACCTCTCTGAACGAGGTAGGCCTGCTGGTCGGGGTCACTGGTTCTCGCCCCATGACGGCTCTGCATCTCCATCAAGGACTGCCTGCTGGGATGAAAAGCAACACGATAGTGATGTTCTACGACAACATTTAGCAGACATTCAACAGCAGGATGGGGAAAAAAGAGCTGAAAAAAAATGCAAGGTTCATAAAAACCAGAACTTAAGGATTAACTTGAATTTTAAATATTATTGGCACTAGGACACAGAGTAGTGAAAGAAACTAACAATTAGGATTAAAAAAATCTATCAGTAAATAACCACACTGTCAACTGATAAGGGAATGGATTAGAAAAAAGTGGCGTATTTCTAGAACAAGACACTATAGAGGAATTGAAGAGAATGAAATAAAACTGCATATATATATATATACACACACCTCCAGAATTCAAAATCACAGTGTTAGATAAAATAAGCTGCAGAACAATACCTAGTGACCATTTCGTAACTTACACACAGAGAAATTAATATTATGCTGTTTCAAGATATGACAGATATTATATTGATACTATGTAAAAGTATAGAACAGATGGGGACGTAACCCCCTCCAAACTCCAGCAGTATGGGGCAAAGAGAGAGAGAGAAACATAATGAGGGGTGGGGAACAGAGGAGGCTCCAACTTCGCCCTTTTTCCTTTTGATAAAATATCCATGATGCAAATAAATGTATGTCACTGTCAATTCTGTGCGGAGTACATCGTGGTATGTGCTATTTTATTCCCTGTATTTTTCTATTTCTATTTCTCTCTATTTCAATTTTTTCTCAAAATGGAAATTTAAAAGACAGAAGTAATTTTAGCCATATTTTCTTTTAAAACATATTACAGAATTGTTTAAAGGGTTTAAGACTATATACCCCTGACAACAGCAGACAGGACTTCGCAACACACAGGTCAAAGTTTTTACAGCATGTCCAAGAGCAAAGAACTCATCAGGTTCCCACGAGATGTGGCCAAGCCTCGTGGTAAGTCACGCTGAGTGTCAGGGACACAATCAAGCGAAGTGTGCTCAGCGTGATTCCTACAGCTCAACTTAGGGAGCACCTCCGACAGGCCCCCTGTGCTCGGCCTGTGCCCAGGGCTCCAGGTGTGTGCTCTGAGCCTTCCCGAGCCTTCCTAAGCCTCACCTGCCTCCATCTTCAAAAGCATTATTCTCTTTCAGCAGGATTGCCAGCTGCAGGGCCAGCTGCTCCTTTTCTTCGTGTATCTTCTCTCTTGCTGCTCTTTCAGCATGAAAGTCCGAACAGTAAACCTCCATCTGGTAGAAGGGAAGAGACAGAAGTTACTACACAGACGTACGTGGATTCTCTACGGCCCAACGGGTGACAGGGTGCAGGGGGAGTGCTCCCCCCTGTGATTCCCTCGTAAGGAACAGGGGCGCACGGTGCTGCTGGAAACCAGTGGCGACCGTGACTTCCAACCACCTTCAGACAGAAGACAAGTTGTGTGTGTGTGTGTGTGTGTGTGTGTGTGTGTCACACTTTAGACAATCAGAACCTGACAATGACATTGATATAGGTGGTTTAAACACTGCACATAACATTCGTTCAGTAAAATTCTGTGGTCTTTTTAAAAAAATCATATTCAGGATTAGCTTAATATAGTAAATGGTTTATTTACTGTCAGGTATATTTACGAAGGCTGGCCTTAAATTAAATTTTAAATAATAATAATAAATAGGTGCTATTCATTGAATTCCAAACATATACAAGGTCCTACGTCGGATGCCTATATTCCTACCTTATTGCACGTGTTGTAATGAGCACTGGGTGTTATACGCAAACAATGAATCATGGAACACTACATCAAAAACTAATGATGTAATGTATGGTGACTAACATAATAAAAAATAAATCCTGCGAATGTAGAATTGCTATGCTCATTTTACATTCATAAGTGTAACAGCTGTCAGTCCGGGGTAATTTAGGTAAGTGGTCAAACCAGCACTTGAACCAAGACTGAAGCCCATATTCTATGCCAGTCCTCACGGTGGTAGCCAGCCTCCAAGACAGCTCCAGGGATGCTCACCTTTTCGTATTCCAACCCTTATGTGGTCCCCTTCCACAACGAATAGAGCCAACCCGTGGAACCACTAGGATATTGCAGAAATGATGGTGTATGGCTTCTGCCTTGTTCTCTCCTGGGTCACCTGCTGTGGGGGAAGCTCGCTGCCATGTCATGAGGGTATGTAAGATGCTGTGTGGGGAGCCCCACAGGGTGAGGAACTCAGGCCTCCCGCCCACAGCCCTGTGAGTGAGCCGGCTTGGAAGTGGATCTTCCGGTCCACCTTGGGCGCAGCCTCACGAGGGGCCCTGAGCCAGAAGCACCCTGCTAAGCTGCTCCTGAATGCCTGACCCACAGAAACCCGAAGATGACAAATGCTTGTTGCTGCAGCTGCTAAAATGGAGGATAATTTCTTACCTAGAAATATATAAATATTATGCCGTGATAGTGATTTCTTCACTGTTACAAAATTCTAAAGTAAGGATGAACTCCTTAATAGTGAAATGAACATTACTCTAAGACCAGTTTTTAACTTTCTATATTTAAAATTAGGGTTTTCCCCCTAAATTTCATGGTTCTAGGATACAAATATTTATCTTTCTTACTTTTGAAAGTAAAATTAAATAAAAAAATATTCTATCACAGTTTTAGTTACCCCCCCCCAAAAACAAACAAATCACACAACTCTGTGATAAAAAGGTCATTTTAAGGGACTTCCTGCCATTTGTGAACATTTTATGTGACCACTGATGCATCATGGAAATTTTTGAGTCAGATCCCAATTTGAGTTACAGTCTTACTTCTATCACTGATCAGCTTTGAGCCAGTCAGACCCGGGTCGTTCTGTCCATTCCTACATGCCCTGTGACATCAGTGGCTCACGTTTCAGGCTCAAAAAGAAGTGGCTGAATGAATAAACCAGAGTATCTACCAAAACTCAACAAATGTCCACGTACAGAAGGACAAAGGACATGACAACAGTATCATGAGGTACCCGAACAAACAAACGCTATAAAGAGCTTGGGTTGAAATTCTCTTCCTATAGAAAGAAAACTCAAGACTCTAAGTCCAGTCAACTTAGAACTGAGAACTCCTCTGGAGTTCATATTTGAGTAATGAGTATGTATGTGGTCACTGAGAAATAATAAACTGTTGACTTTGTTATGTTAAAAATAATTTATCTTTATCAGACTGGCAAACATTTAAAAGAATGCTACAAGGAGGTGGGGAAATAGACGTTCTCTTCTCCTTCGGTGAGAGGATAATTTTGGTTATGCATTCTTGGAAGACAACTTGTTAATATTTATTTAACTTAAAGACAGGCACACCCAATAACCCAACCATTCCATGTCTACATCTCACTATAGATTCCACAAGTGCACAGAGACATACATACAAGAATGTTCAGTTCAGCATTGCTGATAATAGCAAAAATATTGGTACAACCTATACATCCATTAATAGAGGGCTGGTTAAATCTATCATGGTAATGCACACTTTGGAATACCATACCACTGTTCAAAAAATAACAAATGGCTAGGAGTACTAATACAGAGAGAAGTCCAAGATACATCATGACTGAAAAGTTGTAGTATAAAAGGTATACTGCAATCCCACTTTTAATTAAGCAAACAAACAAAATAACAAGAGACAAAGGTTTCCCCCCCTTTTTCTGTGGTTTTACATCTCAGGCAGGATGCATTCCCACTGATAAACTTTCTGCAAGTCCTCCACCCACCAGGAGCAAGAGTGGGGCCAACCAGTAACAATAAGCCACGGTACACAAATTCTTCCAGAGTAAAAGAAGGAATGTGCCTCAACTTGTTTTCATGAGGCCAGTAAAACCTTGATCTCAAAACCTCACAACGACATTAGCAAAAGGAAAATTCTAGGCCAATCTTATTCAAGAATATAGATACAAAAGTCCTAAGTAAAATATGAACAAGCCAAATCCAGCAATATGTACGAAGGGTAATTCAAGAAATGTAAAGTTTGTTTAATATTTAAAAATCAATGTGATTCACCACTTTAACAAATTAAAGGGAAAAGGAATATATTTATCCAATTATATCATTACTGGAAGAAAAAAACTTTCCCTAAATAAAATTCAACATCCACTCGAAATTTTGGCACACAAGGAAGAAAAGGGAATTTCCTTGATTTGATAAGTGATATCTACAAAGCCTACAGCAAACACCATACACCTAGCAGTAAAATGTTAAAATCACTGCCTCTGAGACTGGGAGCAAGGCAAGGCTATCTGCCATCTGCACTGTTACACAACACTGTTTGAGGGACCCAGTCAGTGTAATAAGGCAAGAAAAAGAAATAAAACATAGGAAGAACCAGAAAGGAAAAAACCCAAAACTGTCATTATTTAAATGATATGATTATGAATGTAAAGAGGTCAAAAGAATATTCAGAGATATTATTAAAATTAAAATGTGAATTGAGCAAGTCTACTGCATACAAAATCAATATATAAAAATCAATTGTATTTCTATATAATAGCAGCTGTTAAAAAATGAAAATTTTAAAAAGGTGCTATTTGTAACAGTATCATAAAAATAGAGAGTATCTATGAATAACCTATTAAAAGATGAGCAAAATCTTACTAAGAAGATTAAAAATATTACTTAGAAGAATTAAAGAAGATACGCCATGTTCATGCATTGGAAGAGTCACTGTTGTCAAGATGTTGGTTACCTCCAAATTGATTTTTATCTATTTAATATAATTCAAGTCAAAGCTCCAGGAGGTTTTTCTGTGTGTGTGTGCATGTGTGTGTGTGTGTGTGTGTAAAATACCAAGTGGATGCTAAAATTAAAATGACAATGAAAAAGGGAAAGAAAATCTAAGGTCCTCTGGACAAGTATCAATGAGGTAGGAAAACTTACTCTACCAGGTATCAAAATTTTTGTGCTTCATAGTAAGTCAAGACAGTACGGTACCAGAGCAAGGATACAAAAATAGCTCAATGGAACAGTAGAGAGTCCAGAAATAGACCCATGGACACCTGAACACAAGATACAACAAAGAAGGCAGCACATTACTTAAGATGACACTTAACATAAACGGTGCCAAGGCAACATGATAAAAAAATAAGTCTTCACTCTTACCTCACTCTATAAAGAAAAACTAATTCCAGACGGTTTCTAGATATTAATGTAAAAGGCAAAAGAGTAAAATTTTTAGAAGACAACATGGGAGAGTATCTTCATGGCCTTGAGGTAGTGAAAGTTTTTTAACAGGACACAAAAAGTACTAATTGTAAGTGTAAAGACTGACAATGTAGACTTCATTAAAATAAAGAACTTCTGTTCATCAAAAGACACTTTTATGGGCGTGAAAAGACAAATCACGGAGCCAAGAAATCTGCAACAAATATAACTGTCAAGGGCTTGTGTCTGGAGTGTATAAAAAACTCATAAAATCAAGACAGCAAACCAGAAGAAAAATGGGCAAAGACGTCTTCAGGCACTTCACAAAAGGGAGCACCAAGAAGACTAGTTAACACTTGAGAAAGTACTCAGTCTCATTAGTCATCAGGGAAGGCACATTAAATGAGACACCATTATATGCCCACCAGAATGCTTACAAATGAAAGTAAAAATACTGATAATACAAGGATGGGTAAGGATGTCGAGCAACAGGGACTCTGTTGATGGGAGTGAAAACTGGTACAACCACTTTGGAAAAGTGTTGGCAACATCCACTAACACTGAGTAACATGCATACTCTAGGAACCAGCAATTCCACTGCTAACTGGGTATGCACCCAACAGAAAGGAACGCCCAGGCCAACAAAGAGAGACATCCACAAGAATGTCAGAACAACCTTAATCATAATGCCCCAAACTGAAAATAATCCAACTACCTATCAACCATAGAATGGATACATTCATTGAGCCCTACCCTTAAAAGTTTGGTGCACTTTCCACATGTGATATGCTTCAATAAAAAATGTTTTAAAATATATTGGTGGAAATTATAAAAAATCCCCCAAAATATATTTTGAACACCATCACTTTCCCATAGGAGAACATAATCAGGGTTGGCCTCACCCAGTTCATGTTTCAGAACGTAGCTTACCTGAGCCCGAAGAATAGTCATGGTTTCCAGGTCCTCCTCCTGCTTGGCGATGGTCTGCTTCATCTCATCCATCTGAAGCTGCTTGGAAGCCAGGGCCTTCTCTGCCAGTTCCAGCTTTTCACTTAGTTCTTGTAGTACCACCTTATCCACTTTTTCTGACTGAAAGACACAAGATCATTCTAGAAGTGGCTGTGAAATAACTCAACCTAATTTATTATTATTTTTTAAGATTTATTTAAGTGAGACAGCGTGCATGAGCAGGGGTGGGGAGGGGCAGAGGGAGAGGGAGAGTCTCAAGCAGTCCTAATCGACGATGCCCCCCCCCGGTGCCCCTAATTCAACCTATTTTAGTAAAACATTAAACGAAGTTTTATTTTTTTAAATGCCTGGCTCTAAACTGTTCTGTTAATTAGCAATGATAACTTAAACTCAGAAAGTTTTATTAACTTATAGTTTGTAAATTATAATTTCTTAATTTAAAACAATTAAAAAAAAACACTAAAATAAGGGAAATAATGACAAACCCTGATCTCAGTGAGGTTGTAACTTGCTGATACTGTTATTTTTCCCACTGATATTACTCTTATATGGTGAAGTCAGTGGAAAAGAAAAAACATGTTTAAATTAAAAACTGATTACCTCACACCTGTCAGATGACTAGTATCAAAAAGACAACAACAAGTGTTGGCGAGGACGTGCACAAGAAAAAGGAACCCTGGTGCCCATGAAAAAGGAACCCTTGTGCACTGTTGGTGGGAATGCAAACTGGGGCAGCCACTCTGGAAAACAGTATGGAGGTTCCTCAAAAAGTTAAAAATAGAACTACCCTATGATCCGGCAAATCCCACTTCCCTAGTATTTATCCAGAGAAAATGAAAATACTAATTCAAAAAGATATCTCCACTCCTACGTTTATTACAGCAGTATTTACAATAGCTACCTATTTAGGAAGCAACCTAAATGTCCATCAAATAGCTGAATGGATAAAGAAGATGTGATCTATATTTGTACAAACACACACACACACACAGACAAGAATATTACTCAGCCATAAGAGACTGAAATCTTGCCATTTGTGACAATATGCATGGACCTAGAAGGTATTACGCTAAGTGAAATAAGTCAGAGAAACAGACAAATACCATATGATTTCACTTATGTGGAATCTAAAAAACAAAACAAATGAACAAACAGAAACAAACTTATAAATACAGAGAATGAACCGGTGGTTGCCAGAGGAGAGGGACATAGGGGGATGAAGTGGATCAAGAGGTATAAACAAGTCAAGGGATGTACAGTACAGCACAGGGAATACAGCTGACCCTCGAACAATGCAGGGGTCAGAGGCACTGAACCCCTGCAGAGTCGCAAATCCACATGTAACTTTTGACTCCCCAGAAACTTAACTAGTAACAGCCTATGGTTGACTGGAAGCCTTACCAATAATTTAGTGGATTAACACATATTTTGTATGTTATATGTATTATATACTGTACTCTTACAATTAAGTAAGCTAGAAAAAATATGTTATTAAGAAAATCATAAGGAAGAAAAAACACATATAGTTCTGTATTTTAAAAAATCTGCAATATTAAGTGGACCCGTGCAAACCCTTTTTGTTCAAGGGTCAACTGTACAGTCAATACTATTGTAATGACTTTGTATGGTGACAGATAGTAACTACAGTTATGAGCGTTTCATAATGTATATAAATATCGGATCACTATGTTGGACACTGAAAACTAATATGACACTGTATGTCAACTCTACTTCAATTAAAAATAAATAAGTAAATAAATAATGAAAAAAATTTACAAGTCCTAGAGAAGAACAATATTCTATTAAAAAAAAAAAAGAAAGAAAGAAAAACAGGGGTGTCTGGGTGGCTCAGTCGGTTAAGCGTCTGACTTGGTTTCGGCTCAGTTAATGATCTCATGGTTGTGGGAGCAAGCCGTGTCCTCAGGCTCCACGCTCAGCGGGGAGTCTGCTTGAAAGATTCTCTTCCTCTGACCCTCCCCCTGCTTGTGTGCACCTTCTCTCTCTCTCAAAATAAATAAAACTTAAAAAAAAAAAAAATAAACCCAAAGAGTACATTTATAAGCATATAAACTCAAAGACCCCTTCTAATTCAAAGCTTCCATGATCTTTACTTACTTCACTTGGCTTTAGCCAAGTGAAACTGACAAATTAAATTGTGAGCTATTTAAAGTGAACAATGTGACAATTTGATATGCGTACACAGCGGGAGAGGGCTCCCCCCACCAGGTTAATGAACACGCCTATCACCTCACACATCTACCCATTTTTTTTTTTTTTTTTTTTTTTTTGCGAGAGAGAGAATGAGAGACAGAGAGCATGAGAGGGAGGAGGGTCAGAGGACAAGCAGACTCCCTGCTGAGCAGGGAGCCCGATGCGGGACTCGATCCCAGGACTCCAGGATCGTGACCTGAGCCGAAGGCAGTTGCTTAACCAACTGAGCCACCCAGGCACCCACACATCTACCCATTTTTAAACTGCCACACCATGCTGGTGTTATATTAATGTAAGCTGCAGTCCGGGAGTCCAGGGTCTCAAGGTCACTGACAGGAGCCAGCTAGCCCTGTAACAGCTCCCTGGAGACAACCCCACCAGTGGCCACCCACAGTCTTGCTGTGCCCTGCTCACGTGGGAGCCCATGCTGGGAGCTCTCCTATAAACCCACTCGCTGTTAGAAATGCTAAAAGCTGGGGTGCCCCGGTGGCTCAGTCAGTTAAGCGTCTGACTCTTGATTTCGGCTCAGGTCATGATCTCAGGGTCGTAGGATTGAGCCCCTAACAGGCTCCGTGCTCATCAGGGAGTCTGCTTGAGATTCTCTCTCTCCCTCTCCCTCTGCCCCGCCCCCCCCTGCCCTCTTTCTCAAATAATAAATCTTAAAAAAAAAAAAAAAAAAAAAAAAGAAATGCTAAAAGCTTACTCCCCAACCCATAGAACATTAGCACCATCTCTGCACACAAGGCACATTATACACAGGTAGAACATCAGAAGTTTTACCCACTTAGACACAAGAAATCATTTATAAACTCAAGAACAACCTCTGAAACCATACTTAGTTATGGATTAACACAACTACTTTACATATAAAAAATGTTTATAGTTTCTGTTCACTACAAGGCTACGAAAGTCATTTTTTTTCTATGAGTACCTCTTTCCTTTTCAGTTCCTCGAGTGATTTCAATGAATTATTGTATTCTTGAAGAAGCTTGTTATGTGTCAACTGGAGAGTGGCTAACTTGGACCTATTTAAAAAGAAATTAAGAAATGGAATCTTGGGGGAAAATATAAAAACTTAGTCTTGCCTTCCCACCTTCTTCTGAACACTTGACTAGCAAAATCTTCTCTCCTACCTTTACCAGCTCACCACCTGCTAGCGTTTTCTTACTCTCAAAGAAAACAATCTTTCCAAAAAAAAAAAAAAAAAAAAAAAAATCAAGATAGATTACAAGTAACTTTAATCATTTTGTTATAATAGAACAAATTTTATCTCCTCGGAGAAGTCTCCTGGTACTCCTTCAAATACATAAAAGAGAAAAATTTTAAATTTATTCTTAAATCCTAATTCCAATCTTATAAAAGTGCTCTTCTACCTTCTTCTAGCAAGTGGTCATTCAGTTGTGGCATACTCACTTTTCCTCTTCGGTTTTAGCTTGCTCCATTTTGATTTCTGATCGCATGCTTTCCACTTGTAGCTCCAACTTTTTGTTGTTATAAACAAGCTCTTGCTTTTCATTCAGCTCTGATGGGGTTGCAGAATTTTTCCTTTCAAGGGCCTGACATCTAGGAAAGATCAAAATTTCATGAGGATAAACAACGTTCCTTCATTTCTCAGTGGCTTTTAAACCAATCCCAAGATTATGTAGCAAATACAAAGAAATTTTGGATTGCATTTTTCAAGGATTTAATAATGTAAAATAAAATATTTTATCGTTCTTGCTTCTTTACTAGAAGCAAGTAATATTTCTAAACCCTCATGACTAAACACTAAAAAAATACAGATCTTTTTTTTTGTAAAAGAAATTTACATATTTCTGAACCCTTATGCCTAATATAAAAAAAAACTACAGATCTAAGACCACACAAGCAATGGAATAACTGTCTTAAGCAGTCATGCAAGTATATTTTTGTTCTTCAGACACAGACCAAAATAGTAATTGGCTAAAGGTGCTTTTCATATAGCGATCCATGGATATCTTCAATACTTTAAAAAGTTTGGGTTCTGTTAAGCATAAAGAATATGACTTCTGACAAAGACTTAATAAGGGAAAAGTAAGTGTCCTAAGTTTTCTTAAATATCAAAAAGAGAATTTCAATATAATAATAGCAAATATGAACCAATGGTTGCTATACACAAGGCATTAACACCAAGCATGGTAAACATCTCAATACAACATTATGAAGTAGGGATAATGACACACATTGTACAAATGATAAAAGTAGGGCTCAGAGAGGTTAAATAAATAACTTGCCCAAGGCAATACCACGAATAAATTCAGGTCCATAGTTCAACTAAGTCTGTTTGTCCAAAGTCCTTGGCTTTAGCTGCTGTGCTGTGCCAGATTTCCATGTCATCGTGTAGCCTTGGTAAGTGTGAACTCTAAGGCAACATACACTCATGTATTGTGCTGGATACATGTTTGCCAACTAATCCAAAAGAATACATTTTTAAATTTCGGGTAACTTGCTACACCAAGAAAAACAAGCAAATGCGAAGTTGTCAATTTAAATATTAGCCTTCATAATTGATTGAAAATGAATTTTTTTTCTCAATAAAGCTCACTCAAGTTCTTTCTCCTTGCAGCTTTCATTTATGTTTGCTTACATCCATACTGTTAGCTCAGGTTAAGTCCCAGGAAATCTGGCTTACTGCTTTTTTACAGGTCCTCAGATAGGCTATATGTAACACATGTAACAAACATCCCTGAACAGCAGAATCAGATGTTCCTGGGCCCCATGCCCCCATATTACAAGTATACTATATTTATAAATGAACAGGTACATTAATTTCGACATTAGTGTTTGCTGAATTCATACTTTAATTAGGTTTCTATTTTTCTTCTAGTAACATAACAAAACTGTTTTTACATAGTAATATATTTCTTAAAAATGTCCATTTTCTAAAGGAAAATAGAATTCATCTCTCATTCTTACTTCTCTTGAAGTCTCTTCTTCATCAGCTCAGCCTCACTGAGTTTTGTATGAGCCTCTTGAAGCTCCTTAAACAGAGTTGTCACCTGAAGGTTCAATGTCTCCACTTCACTTCCAACCTGTCATTCAGGAAATTCCAAACACGCACATGTGATTTGGACCAGAGATTAAATGAACTTCTTTGTGAGAAAACAGTGTGAACCATCAGTGTCCCACTAAGACTGGTGAGTCGATTAAACTTTTGACAATTAATGCCGTAAATATCTTCTTTGAAAAGAAATGTTTTAGATACAACTGTTTCCTTGTATGTCTATATTTACTAATTATATATAACATTTTATATTCCATGATATGTAATTTATATGTATAATCACTAATTCATATGGCAATATATATATATTTTTAAAGATTTTATTTATTTATTTGAGAGAGAGAGTGAGAGAGAGAGAGAGCACAAGAGGGAGGAGCGGGAGAGGGAGAAGCAGACTCCCCGCTGAGCAGGGAGCCCGATGCGGGACTCCATCCCAGGACTCCAGGATCATGACCTGAGCCGAAGGCAGTCGCTTAACCAACTGAGCCACCCAGGCGCCCCCTATTTTTATTTTTTTTTAAAGATTTTATTTATTTATTTGAGAGAGAGAGACTGAGAGAGAGAGCACATGAGAGGGGGGAGGGTCAGAGGGAGAAGCAGACTCCCTGCCGAGCAGGGAGCCCGATGCGGTACTCGATCCCGGGACTCCAGGATCGTGACCTGAGCCGAAGGCAGTCGCCTAACCAACTGAGCCACCCAGGTGCCCCATATGGCAATATTTATATATAAAACTGTTTTTCTTACATAACTGATCAATTTGGATGCACTGTGATAATGACTTTGTCATAATTTTTTTTTCCTGTAGACATGTGTGGAGTTTATTTAAAGGGAAGAAGAACTGTCTCCTTTTTGATTCTGGCAACCCAAGAACATCCCCTCTTAAGACTTATAGGGGCTAAAATTCACACAAACATTCCCAGATGTTAAGGTTTCAGGTTTTGCTAGTTTCTGCTCACCCTTTATCATCACCTCAGTTAATCCTGATCACGGCTCAGGGGATCACAGAGCACAGTGGTGTCAAAGCACAATCTAATTTACCCAGACAGCAGCTTATGCCCATAGTCCTTGGCTGATTTATGTTCCGAGTTAATTCCACTCTTTTTACTGAACTGCGTTTTCCCTGGCAGCTCCAGAATGGCTGTCAGTGAGCTTTTTGGTGCCTTGGAAATCTCAGTACTTCTCTATTACTGGTTGTCAGATTGGCTTCAGTCAACAATGCACTATGACTCCCAGGTCTTCTCTTCATCTGTGTTCTAAACGTTCTCCAGTCTTTTCAAGCAGGAGACTCAGCCCAGCACATGGCAAACAGTAAGCATTCTACGTGTACTTGTTGAATAAGTGAATTGGCTAAAGTGAGCATCTGACAAAAAATGTCTTTCACATGGACAACTGCAGCTCTTACAACTTCCTGCCTTCATCCACCTTCCCTGAGCTTAAGACAGAGTGATGGGCTCCAAGGCACAGCTCTGAGGTGCCACAGAACACTGGCTATGGAAACATGAAACTCTGCGTTCAAACTATCTCATTCAAACCAGTAGTAGGGGAGAATGGAGATCTTTCAATTCTGTCTCAAGTTGTTGGGTCATAGTCTTAAAACATCTCATTATAAAGTGGGCAAAATTCCTTTCTCCACTAGATGGCCTGTTCACTCACAAAGTTAGGAGAGAAAATCAGTCAAGAAAAGATAGAGGTAGGGGTGCCTGGGTGGCTCAGTGGGTTGGGCATCTGACTCTTGATTTCAGCCGGGGTCCTGATCTCAGGGTTGTGAGATGGAGCCCTGGGCTCCGCCCTCCACAGGCAGTTGGCTTGGGATTCTCTTTCTCCCTCTCCCTCTGTCCCTCCCCCCACTCATGTACCCTCTTGCTCTCTAAAATAAATAAATAAATCTTAAAAAAAAAAAAAAAAAAAGAAGAGATAGAAGTGTGATTCCTTAGAATCACTGGGATAGGAACACATCTCGCTACAATTTACTATGGGTGAAATTCAAATCAGGACAAGGAAATATGAGAGAAACAGAATATATGCAACATTAAAATTATTTCTATTTCTAAAGCTAATAACACAGCACAAGACTTGACTTCAGATATGACTCTTAGGTCCACTGGGGGTGTGACAGCAGCCTTAGAACCTGAGTACCCACAGTTTCTGGGCCTTTTTCCTCTTCTTTCTCTTTTTCTGTGCTCCCCTCTGTCTGGGTCTCAACCTCAGAACGATCACTGGCTTTCTTTTCAAAATAGGAAACTCTGAAAAATACAGAATATGGAAAAGTTACTTTCTCTTTGGGTTCAAGAGGAATAACAATTGCAGAAGCACTAAAAAGAACACTGTCCAAAATTTGGATAAAGGATCGGGGGTTTCAAAATCTCTCTGTATTTGCTATATTATACATTAACCTTTTTGGGTTTAGCTCTCATCCTAAAATTGGCTAGATGTGATTTAAGATATGAAGTCATGCAGAGGTAAAAGGTGGGCATAAATCATCCCAAACACTGAAAAACACTGCCTCTTTTCACGTAACAGTAATACACAGAAATATTTTTTAAAATCTGTGTGTGTGTGTATGTACATACATGCATGTGTGTTCCATGAGTGTGTGTCCCTTTATAAGGATTCGGCAGAGAAAGGAAGTCTTCTTGGACCCATCTAAGTTCACAAGTCCCTTAAAAACAAATTTACCGATATTCTCACTGAATCATAACCACACAAAAGCCAGCCTAAGGCAAATGAAACAAGAAGAGATTTCTGGTTAAAGATGTCGAACTGAATATATGCAGGTAAATTTTCTCCCACCCTGTACCCCACCAAAATGACTTTTAAAAAGCCATATACATACAAGAACAAAGAGAAAGGGAGAGGAAATAACAGCAAGAAGATTTGGGGGGGCACAGCTATGAGTGGGAACTGACTTGGCAGCCCAATAAGGCTGGGTCTGAAGCCAACAGTAGGGAAAGCCAAGCTGTAGCCTGATTGACACTGTGGAAAGCAGAAGGCTCAGGAGTCAGTGACACCAGGTACCACTGGATGCGGGGACAAAGGTGAGGCCTGTTTAAGAGGGACTAGAAGTGGTGCCTGGGCGTCTGACTCTTGATCTCAGGGTCGTGAGTTTGGGCCCCACGTTGGGCTCCACGTCAGGTGTGGAGCCTACTTTAAAAAAAAAAAAAAGAGGGTCTAGAATATCACAAAATAAAGGGTTTCTGGGTTCAGACGTTAGTCAGAGATGAGACGTGGGTTCTTCTGCAAGGAGAACTTACACAAAGAACATTAAGACCCTCAGCCACCTTTCTCTCCTCATCTTAAGAACTTCGGCGTTTGAAAAACACCCTCCAGGCAGGAGGCTGGAAGAGTCTCCTCTGGAGTATGTAACCAGGATAAGGGAAAAGGTTTAAAGTTTCTGACATGGGGCTTCCCCAAGGAAACCTCCCAGCCAGATCTCCCTACGGTGCACCCAGAGCATCAATCAGCTTCTAACACCCTGTAATCCTGCTAAATCTGATCAAACAGCCAAGATTGCTAGACATTTAAGGAAAATCTTAATATGAAGCAGAAAAAAGTAACTTACTGAAAATAGAATATGCCATCAGGGAAAAAAAAAAGGTCAAAAATATCATTAATATCCTTAGAGATATGAGGAAACATTACAACCACAAAAAAATGGAACACAATAAAAAAGGAACATTCAAAGGTTCTCCCCCACAAAAAAGGGAAGATGAAAGTTGATCAAATTTATCAGAACGGAGAAAAAGGGAGAGACAGAAAAAGGGAACAAGGAGTTAAGAAAACTAGAGGAGATCCAATTCAAAATAATAGTAATGCTAGAAAGAGTGAACAAAGAAAACTGAGGGTAAGAGACTATCACTAAATTAATTCAAGATCATCTTTCAAGAACTGAAGGACATCAGTTTGCAGAATGAAAGAGCCCAAGAGTGTCCAGAACAAAGAGATGAAAAACAGGCTCACACCAAAGCACGTGAGAAGTCTCATGCCCAAAGATGAAGAACCAGAATGGCGGTGGGTCTTTCAGCATTAACACAAGAAGCTAGGACATAATGAAGCAATGTTTTTGAAACATGGAGGGAAAATTATATCCGATTACAGAATTCTATACCTAGCCAAACTATCCAAGAAGTATAAAGGCAGAAGGAGAGATTTTCAGATATGCAGGTCTCAGAAAATATACTGCCCATATATTGTTTCTCAGTAAGTTAGTGGCAATGTGGTGAGCTCTGTTTGAAAAAAACAAAACAAAACAAAACAACATTTAAAAAGAGTAGGAAAGGCATTGGATTCAGGAAATAGGTGATGGAAAACAGGAAAGTTGAAGGAGTTCCTCAGGGTGAAGGCAAAGTGAGATGCCAAGATGATTGCCATGAGGCAGGACCTAGAAAGCAAGTAGGGCAGACTCCAGAGAGAATACCAGTAGACTACTAACATGTCTGAATGTATCTGAGAGATTTCCTCATTGGGGAAGAGTATGGGGAAACTAAGCAAATTTTAAAGATGTAATTATGCACAGAAGTAAAAAAAAAAAAGTATAAAAAAAGGAAGAGTGTTCAAGGCACAGAGCAGAGCTCAACTGAGTACTCCGTGTGTGTGCCTAATAACGTAAACACCGAGTAGTTACCTAACTAAATTTCAGTATAGCCAATTTCGGAGGTGGAGCAGGTAAGCTGGGTCCAGAAGCTTGTGTGTGTGCAGTGGGAGGTCAACAGAATGCGTTCACAATAGGGGGGACAACTCGGTAGCAATTTAAGCCTGGTGCATGGAGGGAAATATCACAACGGTCACAACCATTGCAAACTGCCAAACCTAACTGGTGCACAGGCACCATTTCGGGCTAAACCAGATAAATGGGTTAAGAGCCAGCTGGTGCGGGGTTGATGGATGGGCCTTTTTCACGCCACTCATGTATGACCCAGGGTTCTTTTTTTTTTTTTTTAAAGATTTTATTTATTTATTTAACAGAGAGAGATAAAGCAAGAGAGGGAACACAAGCAGGGGGAGTGGGAGAGGGAGAAGCAGGCTCCCCGCAGAGCAGGGAGCCCGATGTGGGACTCGATCCCAGGACCCTGGGATCATGACCTGAGCCGAAGGCAGACGCTTAACCGACTGAGCCACCCAGGCGCCCTGACCCAGGGTTCTGATCTACATTTGAATAATCACTTATCTTACTTCTCTAGGGCAAATTTTCATCTTGGACCGACTTTCCCTGCTACTTCTCGATTCTCTTGAGCCACACTTCCTACACACTTACCCCTGTTGTTGTCAGTTTAAATTTGTTTAGAAAACCCAAATTACATGAAATACAAGTCCTGGAAAACAATGAGAAAAAAAAAGAGACAAACCTATGATCCCCTTTCCCCACAAATCTCCTAGAAGTTTTCAGAATAAATTTCACACTGTCTATGCCCCTATTTGTCATGATTAATGAAAATAGTTGAAGACTCACTTGTTTGAGAAAGAGATATGTTAGGTCTTGGGATGTGTTTTCATTATCCTATACAGCATGTAAACCAAGACAGGCTGTCCAGGTATTAGGGATTTTATTTCTTGGTTTTGGTTCTGCCATAGTGAGGGGGAAATCATCATCCTGATACCCACCCAGAGAACATGAGTCTTGGCAACTACTGTTAACTTGCCAGTTGTTAAATACTGAGAGAAGGCTGACTCACAGGGTGGAGATTTGCTGCTATTGAGAAAGGGACCCTTTACAGGTGCTCACGGTGGGAGACTAAACACTGACTTCCTAGTGCCATTCGAAGAGCTATAGCTGCAGGCAGAAGGCTATAATTATTCTGAAAGCAGGAATTATATATATCATATGAATGATGAGGAGGTACAATTAGCAAATTCCTAAGCTGACACTTTCATCATGAAAGCTAATCATGTTGTCTAAGTATGGGTGAATTACTGGCTAAACTCGACTTCTGAGAATGGCGTACAGAACACAGGAGGGGTAAAGGTGCCTACAAAATATAAACACACAGTGATTATTCATGGCTAGTAAAGGTCTCCTTCAAAGAGTAACATTTTCCCTTTAAAAACCAGCTGTGGTAATTAAGGTATAAAAAGAATGTTTTTGGGGTGCCTGGGTGGCTTAGTCGTTAAGCGTCTGCCTTCAGCTCAGGTCATGATTCCAGGGTCCTGGGATCGAGCCCCGCATCGGGCTCCCTGCTTGTGGGAAGCCTGCTTCTCCCTCTCCCACTCACCCTGCTTGTGTTCCCTCTCTCACTGTGTCTCTCTCTGTCAAATAAATAAATAAAATCTTAAAAAAAAAAAAAATGTTTTTATCTATCTATCTATGCATTGTTACTATGTTTTAGGATTTGTCTGAAAGATAGGACAAATATTTTGTCCATTAGAATACTTGGTACTAGTCTCCCAGAAGTCAACCTTTGAAATTTTCTAAGGGACAACAGTAGGATATGGTGTGTAAACACCTAGGAGTCAGAGCCAGCACCTTTTGAAATGAGCTGACTATGAAATAAGTCATTGGACCAATGCCGATGTGTCTTCCAGGTTAACCTCATCTGAATAAATAACTTAGTTTCATATTTTACAAAAAGATCTGTCTGTAATTAAAAATTTAAACTGTTTCAGGGGCGCCTGGGTGGTGCAGTTGATTACACGTCCTACTCTTGGTTTCAGCTCAGATCCTGATCTCAGGATTGTGAGATCGAGCCCCGCATTGGGCTCCCTGCTCAGGGTGGAGTCTGCTTGAGACTCTTCCTCTCACTCTCCCTTAGCCCCTCTCCCCCTCCCTCACTAAAATAAATAAATCTTTTTTTTTTTTTTTTAGGATTTTATGTATTTATTTGACAGAGAGAGACAGCGAGAGAGGGAACACAAGCAGGGGGAGCGGGAGAAGGAGAAGCTGGCTTCCTGCTGCACAGGGAGCCCGATGCGGGACTCGATCCCTGGACCCTGGGATCATGACCTGAGCCGAAGGCAGACGCTTAATGACTGAGCCACCCAGGTGCCCCTAAAATAAATAAATCTTAAAATTTAAACTGCTTCAGTTAGAAAGTATTTCTCACAGTGCTATAATTTTAAGATTAATAAGCCATTTATAGTGTCTGAGAGAATTAATTATGTCATAGTATACTTATGATTAAATGTTGCAATCGCTGGAGCCCTAAAACTAATGCATAACCTCTCTCATTTCCTATATGGTTTAGGACTTTGCATTTCTTTTTTTTTTTTTTTTAAAGATTTTATTTACTTATTTGAGAGAGAGAATGAGAGAGAGAGAGCATGAGAGGGGGGAGCGTCAGAGGGAGAAGCAGACTCCCCGTTGAGCAGGGAGCCCGATGTAGGACTCGATCCCAGGACTCCAGGATCATGACCTGAGCCGAAGGCAGTTGCTCAACCAACTGAGCCACCCAGGCGCCCGTGGATTTTGCATTTCTAAAAAATGCATTTGCACACAAATTCATTGACTTCACATAAAATTCACCTATATTATAGAGTTGTGAAGTCAATGAATTTGTGTGCAAATGCACTTTTTACATGTATACCATATTCTATGAGGCCAGTATTTCCCTTACACCAAAACCAGACAAAGACATTACAAGGAAAGAAAACTATGGGCTGATACCCCTTATGAATAAAGATGCAAAAAATCCTTAACAAAATTTTAGTAATCTAAACTAGCACATATAGAAAGGATTACACATCATGACCAAGTGGGATTTACCCAGGAATGAAAGGTTGGTTTAACTTGAAAATCAATGACTATAATACATCATATTAACAGAAGTTTAAAAAACCATTAATCATCCCCATAGACATGGAAAAAGCATTTCACAAAATCCAAAACGCTTCACAATAAAAACTACAACAAACTAGAAATAGAAGGGAGCTTCTCAATCTGATAAAAGCATCTATGAAAACTTGCAGCTGGGCGCCTGGGTGGCTTAGTTGGTTGAGCGACTGCCTTCGGCTCCGGTCATGATCCTGGCAGTCCCGGGATCGAGTCCCGCATCGGGCTCCCTGCTCGGCAGGGAGTCTGCTTCTCCCTCTGACCCTCCCCCCTCTCATGTACTCACTCTCTCTCATTCTCTCTCTCTCAAATAAATAAATAAAATCTTCAAAAAAAAAAAAAAGAAAAAAAGAAAACTTGCAGCTAACATCATACTTGATGGTAAAAGGCTGAAGGCTCTCCCGCCTAAGTAAGACAAGCATGTCTGCTTTCTCCACTTGTACTTAACATTGTGCTAGAGATTCTAGCCAGGGAAATTGTGCAAGAAAAAGAAATACAAGGTACCCTTGTTGGTAAGGAAGAAGTAACACTACCCCTTTGCAGATGACATGATCTTGTATAAAGAAAATCCTAAGCAATCCACTAAAAAACTATTAGTGCTAATACATGAGTTCTAGCAAGGTTTCAGGCTACAAGATCAATGTACAATATACAAAAAAGTCAGCAGTATTTCTATACACTAGCAAAGAATACTCCAAAAATGAAATTAAGAAAACAACTTCATGTATAACAGTGCTAACAAATTTCGAAAAGTAGTTTAAGACCTGTATATTAAAAATGACAAAACATCATTGAAATACATTACAGATGACCTAACTAAATCTATGGGTTATCCTTCATGGATCAGAAGATTTAATATAGTTAAGAACAATATTAACTGAACTCCAGATTCAATGTAATCCCTAACAAAATCCCAGCTGGCTTTTTTTTTTTTTTCCAGAAATTAACAAACTTATCCTAAGATTTACACAGAAAAACAAGAAACCCAGGATAGCCAAAACAATCTTTCAAAGTTGGAGAACCCAGACTTCCTGATTTCAAAATTTACTACAAAACTGTACTAATCAAGACAGTGTAGCATTAGCAAAGGATAAACATATAGATCAAAGGAATAAAATGGAAGGTTTAGAAATTAATCTTTACATGCATGACCAACTGATTTACACCAAGGGTGCCAAGGCAGTTCACTGAGGGAAAGAATGGTCTTTTCAACAAATGGTGTTAGGATGACTGGATATCCACACACAAAAGAATGAAGTTGGACCTCAACCTCACACCATACAGACATATGAACTTTAAATACATTTAGAGACCTAAATGTAAGGGCTAAAACCATAAAGCTTTTAGAAGAAAACACAGTGAATCGTTGTGACCCTGGATAAGTCAACGGTTCACTAGATACAACACCAAAAGCACAAGTGACAAAAGAAAAATAGATAAAGTGGACTACATCAAAATAAAATTTTGTGTTGTCAATGATAGCGCCCAGGAGGTAAAGAGGTGATTCACAGAATGGGAGAAAATATTTGCAAGTCATATACCTTATAAAGGATTTGCATCTGGAATATATAATGAACTCTTATAACTCAGTAATAAAAAGGCAATCCAATCCAAAGGATTTCAATAGATATTTCTTCAAAGAAGATATATAGATGATCGACATGAAAAGATGCTCAACATTATCAGTCATTAGGAAAATGAAATCAAAATCACAATGAGACACCACTTTAGACCCATGAGGATGGCTATAATCAAGAAGACAGACAATTATAGGTGTGAAGGAGGATGTGGAAAAAAGTAGAACCCTCATACATTGCTGGTAGAAACGTAAAATGGCGCAGCCACTGCAGAAAACAGTTTGGTAGTTCCTCAAACTATTAAACACACAGAGCCAATGACCCAGCAATCCCACTCCTGGGTATATACCCCCAGAAAATTAAAAAAAGTATGTCCACAGAAGAAGTTGTGCAAGAATGTTTACAGCAAACATTATTCACAACAGGCAAAAAGTGGGAACCAAAATGTTTCCCACCTGATGAATATAAGTAAAATGCTGACTAGTCACACAATGGACTATTATTTGGCAACAGAAAGGAAGTGAAGGACTGGTATGTGCCACAACATGCATGAACTCTGAAAACATGACGCTACATAAAATCAGTCAACCACAAAAGGCCACATATTATATGGTCCCATTTATATGAAATGTCCAGAATAGGCAAATCTGTGGAGACAGAAGACAGACTGCTGGGAGGAATGAGGAATCAGTGTTGACAGGAACTGGGTTTCTTATCTGGTGAAAACAATGTTCCAAAATTATAATGTGGTAATGGCTACATGACTGTGAATATTCTAAACAGTACTGAAATGTATACCTTAAATGGATGGATTACCGGGTGTCTTAGTTTTATCTCAATAAAGCTGTTAAAAAAAAAGCAATGAATGCATATTTCAAGTTACCAATTCCGTACCTTTTGTTGGCTTCCTTGAGTGCAGTTTCAAGCTTCTCCGCCTTCTGGCTTTCTTCCCTTAGACAAAGAAGGAGCTGGCTCACAGTTAATTTCTCAAATTCCAAATAATTCCTGGAGCTTTCTGTAGATTTGTTCCTACATCAAGAACAGAATAAAGATTAAAAGGTTTTCATCACGAAACACAAATGTCAAAGGGTCTACGAATGTAACTGGCACCAACATAAAGGAAATGCTTCCCAGAACACTCTCCAAATAATTCTCATTTACAGGCCAAACGCAGCTGGTCATGTGACCACCAGGTTCACACTCCTCCAAGCTCTCCGGGGAGAGGGGCGGGGGCTCTCCGGTAGGCTCACCTTGCACTGTACATGCTCGCTTCCTTCAAACAGCCAGTGTGCCCAAACATCAGACCCCAGGACCCCCGGGAACAGAGGTGGCCCTGGTTTCCAGTGCCCGGCCTCCCCAGAGAACTAGTCTCAAAGAGGACCAGTCATACAAAGTACATGAACACGCGTGCTGCCTGGCAACATGCGGACCGCCAGCCTTTCTTCAACTTGATATTCTCAAGTCAAGAGAAGAAAGCACTTTTTGTTTTTGATTTCAAATCATTACAGCAGAGAAATGTAGGCACCGCTGGTATGTGAAATATTTTCCCTGAATTTGAAATCTGATTATACCGAGAAGGGGTGGGATGGCAAACAAAACCAGGACCACTGGTACGGCAGCTACACTTCCCGGGTGACCGCACTGATGCTCATGTCCAAGGTCACACGTCTCATAAACAGCCGGGATTAAATCCCAGTTCCCGACTCCGACCTCTGCACCCAGAAATCAATCTCTGACTCCTTAATACACCTTCAAACGAGGTATGTTTGAAGCTGTTATTAAAACATTAACTGTGGCTCGGGGCTCCTGTCTGGCTCAGTCAGAGGAGTGTGTGTCTCTTCATCTCGGGGTCATGAGTTCGAGCCCCATGTCGGGTGTAGAGATTACTTAAAAATAAAATCTAAAAAAAAACACCAACCAACCAACCTGTGGCTTAAAAGAGGAAGTGGTTTCAGCAGGTGGATATAAATGAGGAGGAAGTGGCTTGGAAATTTCAAACAGGGCCTTCTTCCTTCCCACCACTTCCAGAAAAGTCTTTCGATATTAATAAAAACAGTCGGGGGGAAAGCCGAGGGACTGCTAACTAAGCAAAGTGCAACTTTCACTTATGCCAACTGCCCTGTTTGATGAAAGAATATTATCTAACACTTATTTTCTCCCTGATGCAAGGGCTTGGGAGCATAATTGGGAAAAAAGGAAACTGCCCGTTTTCATGTTTTATAAGTACATTCGTCATGTTACAGAAAAAAAGGTATTTAAAGCCTATGACAGAAGAGATTCCTAGAGAAATTTTCCGGTAATAACAGTCTCTTTCAAATAGACTGACCCAGCAGTAACCTGTGTACAGGGTTCCGGGTGAGAGTCTCTAATGCCCAGCTCCTCTGCCATCTCTTCTGCCAAGCCCCTCGTCCCCCTGCCCCACACACCGCCATTTAAGATGTCTGCTTCCTAATGTCTACTTGGAACAGGTCAACTTGAGACTCCACAGGTAAGACTTCTGGCCACTGGGTAAGACAGTGACTCAGAGCACTCCCAGTCCTCACTAGAGGAGATTACCCAGGATCAGTCACCTGGGCTTATCCTCGGGAATGAGCAGGAAAGACAAAATGATAACATCCCACTTATCGGGCTTGACAGCCCAGGCCAGGTCAAACTCTACCGGTAAACAAATTAGCAAGCCTGAGTCTTTTGATTAAGAACAAGTTTGTCTTCACTTCTCATCTTATGGGAGATGAAACACCTCTAAACAGAGTGGGGAGGGTTGAGTTTGTCTACAGAGGCACCACACGCTGTTTTTATTCTCTGCTAGCCTGGGCTACAACACTAAATCCCATTCAAACCGGACGGTCTTAAAAGGTGCTGGCATGGGGCGCCTGGGTGGCTCAGTCGTTAAGCGCCTGCCTTCGGCTCAGGTCATGATCTCAGCGTCGTGGGATCGGGCCCCGCGTCGGGCTCCCTGCTCCTCGGGAAGCCTGCTTCTCCCTTTCCCACTCCCCCTGCTTGTGTTCCTGCTCTCTCTCTCTCTGTCAAATAAATAAACAAAATCTTAAAAAAAAAAAAAAAAGGTGCTGGCTTAAGTTAGCAAGAATCGACTTTTGCAGCCCAGGATGTTTGACCTCCCCGCGGCGAGCTGCAAGCGACAAGACTGCCTGACAGGTGTCTCCGCCGGCCCTAGCCCGTCTTCACATACGTGTCAATGGAATCAGTTCTTGCGGGCCCAGGACTCGTCTTGATTTCTCTCACCGCCACATCTGCTTCTCCTTCCTATAAAGGCAGAAATGAAAGGGCTTTACCATGATAATGTCCGCAAGACAAATTCTTTATCAAAAGAGAAAAAGGGGGTGCCTGGGTGGCTCAGTCGTTGAGCGTCTGCCTTCGGCTCAGGTCATGGTCCCAGGGTCCTGGGATCGAGCCCTACATCGGGCTCCCTGCTCCGCGGGAAGCCTGCTTCTCCCTCTCCCACTCCCCCTGCATGTGTTCCCTCTCTCGCTGTGTCTCTCTCTGTCAAATAAATAAATAAAATCTTAAAAAAAGAGAGAGAGAGAAAAAGACAGTAAGATCGAGGATCTGGATGACCTGCAACCCAAGGAAGCTACCGACATTTAAATGGGAGATGTTTCAATGAGGTCACTGAAATGGAATGGGAATTTAGCCTTCCCTCACCCTGCGCACCCTGTCAGGATTATAAATATCTAGGCCAAGGCGTGAAGATTGGTCTCTCATCCAGAACAGCCAACCTGACCCCAAACATATGAAAACTTATCTCCTCCTTCTCCTTGGCAGCTCATTCCCTTCTCTCCCAAGTGAAGGTCACATGTAGCTAGTGCCGCCTCCACACATCTTCCCTGCACAGGCCTTTAAAATGCAAAACGTCAGAACTTGCTGAAGCAATGTTGAAAAAGAGGCTGCTTTAGGGCGCCTGGGTGGCTCAGTCGGTTAAGCGACTGCCTTCGGCTCAGGTCATGATCCCGGAGTCCCGGGATCGAGTCCTGCATCGGGCTCCCTGCTCAGCAGGGAGCCTGCTTCTCCCTCTGACCCTCCCCCCTCTCATGCTCTCTCTCTCATTCTCTCTCTCAAATAAATAAATAAAATCTTTAAAAAGAAAAAAGAAAAAAAAAAAAAGAAAAAGAGGCTGCTTTCTGTAGGCAGAGCTCACAAAGCACAAAGTTAGCTCCTAGCAGAAATTTGTATACATCGTGGGCCACTTAAAGGAACAAGAAGTCCAAGACCAGTTAAATGATATGAAAGACATTAATATTCCAATGAGCTAGCGGGAAAATGTTCCAAAAACGCATGGACAAAGATGGTTCTAGATAATTCTGAGCATGTACATTTTTCCTAAATCTTGGGCAGTGTTTTCCAGTTCACAGAAGCAAGGCAAGAAAAGCATGTTTACACTAAAAATAACTGTCACTCATCGGATCAGTGAAGGAGCAGATTATGTTAACCATTCACCCCAAAGGAAGAAGCCTCTTTTGGAAACTTCTCATACACTCCGTGGCCTTCCTGAATTTTGCCAGGTATTTGCAGAAGGTGAAAGCTGTTTGATCAAACCTGCGTTTCACAATCTTTGGTCATCTGCAGAGAGGGTACTCTGGCAAAGTGTGCTTTCCATTTGGTATTTTAATTCTCCTGATTTCGGCTACTATGAATGCACCCAAAGATTTATTAGGGAGCATGGGTGGCAAAGTTCCTACTTTGCCATTTCCCCATCCTACTACTCTTCAGTGCAGCAAACGTACTGGAAAGTCACATGCGAATAATTCCAACATACCCAGGAGTTCAGCTTTTTATAAGCTCCCCACGCATTGTCTACAAGGTCCACTTTACTCTCTCAGAGACACCATCTCTTTTCCTGTGTCATATGTACGGTCTGACAAAGCTAAAATGCCAGTGTGTATCACAGAGGATCCTTTCCTTGTGTGTTTTTCTCCCTCACTATTCAGTGTCTTTGAGCAGCGACGAAGGAGAGGCCCCTCTGTGCTCATCTACCTGCCCTGCTCTTGAGCAGGACCACCCGCACACCCAGATATGGCCCCAACAGATGCTCCTCATGTGCTCAGGAACGGGCCGGCACACGCTATTTCACCGAGCTCACTTCATTTTCAGTTCCACATAAATGTGTCAGACACCGGGGGCTTCTCACTCAGCTCCTGGAGGTGCCCAGGCAGCTGCTGTTAGACGTGGGGGCAAAGCCAAGGTCAACCCTCAACCACAACCCCAGCGTCTCTGCCCTTTCTTTTCTTCACTGCCCAACCAAGGTTCCTTGTAAGGCTTGTTTAAAAAGAGGGTTCTATTATTAAAAAGTGTTTTAAAGCCATCAGTTTACCGCATCTGCTCATGAGTCTGCTCACCTAAGTGCAGTGCTGGACACAGCTAAGGACCTGGCCTGAAAAAGTTTATGTTTCGGGCACCTGGGTGGCTCAGTCAGTTAAGCGTCTGCCTTCGGCTCAGGTCATGATCCCAGGGTCCTGGGATCGAGTCCCACATCGGGCTCCTTGCTCAGCGGGAAGCCTGCTTCTCCCTCTCCCACTCCCCCCGCTTGTGTTCCCTCTCTCGCTGTCTCTCCCTGTCAAATAAAATCTTAAAAAAAAAAAAGTTTATGTTTCTGTTTTGGTTTTTTAGATCACAAAATGTCTGATTTGTCAGTACCTATGGGAAGGGGGGGGAAAAAGCCCTATCTCTTTTGTCATAAAAGGTAATCAATAGTCTTCCATTTCAGCCATGATAACCCTCATGAGTATTATATATATATATATGTATATATATATATATATATATTTTTTTTTTTTGAGAGCGAGACAGAGAGAGAGCGTGTGCGTGAGCAGGGGTAGGAGCAGAGGGAGAGAGAGAATCCCAAGCAGGCTCCATGCTCCAAGCAGGATCTCACAACCCTGAGATCGTGACCTGAGCTGAAATCAAGAGTCATACACTTAACTGGCTGGGCCACTCAAGCGCCCCTAGGATTATGTCATACTTAAAAACAAGAGCCAATTTATCTTGGTGATATTGATGCTGAAACTCCCCTCCTCCCCCCACCCCCCAGTTTGGCTTCCGTGTGTTGAAAAGACATAGTGGTAATCTAGGTGTCTAGGTGAGGTTTTGTAATTTGCTTAATACTAAATCAAAACCAGGACACTCACAGCTATCCTGATTTCAACAAAGGAGTCTTCAGGGGGGCCACCCGAGTTCAGCTTGAGCTGGAGTTCTGACACAATCCCCAGCAGATCTGCCTTTTCAGCTTGGAGATAGGCCACCTGGGTCTTCAGCTGTTCCAGTTCCTGGTCTGCTTCTGCCCTGGGGACTCTGGAGTCCCCAGTGGGGTCCTGGAAATGACGAGAAACAAGGTGAATCAGTGAACCAAACTCACACCTGGTCATCAAACCGAAGTGTCCCCATACCCACTGGCAAGGCAGCTATGCTTTATGGTAGGAAAATTCTAGCCTTCTCTTGGGGATATATTTTGATGTAACACTTCAAATGGAAGACTTTACATTATTATATTCAAACAACAGAAACTTAAAATAATCTCATGACAAGAAAGAAAGTCTTCCTCAGCACATGGGATAATCTGATATGAAAATAACCAATCAGACTTTGATAGTGGTAGACTGGTAAATTGTCGTCCAAAACCTCAGAAAATAGGGACAAAAAGCTCGCCTTTTTTTTTCTTCCCACAAAGGCAGACCTACCCTTACTTTCCCCATATTTGTCATGTACTGTTTGAAGCCAAAGCACCAAGACATTTCATTACTTGATACGTGAATGGCAAAGGACAAGGAAAGTCCAAAATTCTCTCAGGCATGCAGGCTGGTGGCTGTTATACTCTATGTTGGTGTTTTTAGGTTTGCTAAAAGTAAGCCCGGGGAGAAATAAGAAAACTGAAAATTCAGAGGCTGCTACTAAAAGTAAAAAAAAAAAAATTAAATTTCAGCCTATATAAACATGAAGAACAAATATTTCTATTTCACTAACACCAAGTACGTGTTGCGCTCCTCTTGTTACAATCACTGCACATGACAAAGTCGTAGGAGAAAGGGCCTGTTTAGATGCAGTGTTTTCATTTGGGAGCAGAGAAAACAGATTCCAGTCCACACCCTGCTAATCCCTGGTTACGACGCCCTGAGCGGATTTGCTTAATGTCTTGGCCTCCATTTTCTCAGGTTAAAAAGGGAAATGTGGTCCCTTGTGGTCTCTGTGGTCCCTTCCAGCTGTGACCTACAAGGCCTCTTCGATTTCCTCCTCAGGAAACCTTCATTGCTTTTACGGGCCTGGTGCCACCAGAAATATATACTTGAGATTATCAGAGAATTACAACACAATTCTCTCTCTCTCTCTCTCTCTCTCTCTCTCTCACACACACACACACACACACGCACATATGCACACCCATCTCCGTGATAGATTTTCTAAGGAACCAGAAACAGACCCAAAGGCTGTTAGTAGAACCAAAAAGCATCAGAAAGGACATGCATAAACCAGCTGGTCCATGAAATATTAAAACCTGGAGGGAAAGGTATTAACATGCAGCATGGGAGCGTCTCTCACACCACTGAGATTATGCTCTTCCTTCACTGGGAGCGTTCCCTTGCCAGAAAACGACTACAGGCCTGAGAGAAAAGAACTCATTGTGAAGCTGAAGAGTTAGGTGTGCAAGGAAAGGTTATCAGCCTGGGAATCCTCTCTTGGTAATGACTCATCCCAAAGAAATGTACTGTGAAAGGGGTGGAAACAGTTAAAGGAGAGGCACTGCTTAGCCTGGAACTAGGAAGCAAGCAGGTAAGGGCAAGGCCATGCTCTATTAGGAATCTTCACATTTTCCTGCTGGACCCCTCTGAGGACATTTTATAGAATTGCTGGTTTTTGGGTTTTTTTTAAAGAGAGAGTGAGCATGTTAGTGGGGATGGGGAGGGGCGGAGGGAGGGAGAGAGAGAATCCTAAGTAGGCTCCACACCCACTGCAGAGCCGATGTGGGGCTCCATCTCACAACCTTGAGATCATGACCTGAGCGGAAATCAAGAGTCAGATGCCCAACTGACTGACCACTCGGGCACCCCAGAATGGATTTTTGTAAAACCACCTTGGCGTAAGAGTAGGAAACAGAGTTTTAAACAAGTGTCTGAGGACGAGGGTTATAAGGCCATGATCCTAGAATCTCAGACTTGTCAGATTAATTTTCTTTTTTACAAGGGTGAGGATCTCTTCACTATCCTTGGGAAATTCCAAATCTATTTATTTGGCCATAAAACACCTCACAAGATAATATTTTAAATATCTCTTCATTTTACTACCGACTCTTTCCATTCCCTTCCTGGACTAGAACTCACACCTTTTATTTATGATCAACCTCAACTCCGTGTTTTGTTACTGTCTTTCATCACTTTCAAGGGCCCGCCATTGACCTTCATGCAACACAACAGCTCTCCTTGTGTACCCGTATATCTCCATCTTGCTGTCCCGGAAATCCGCCCAGACTACCATGCATTTTATAATCCTAGAAGAAACATCCAGCTAATGATCTCTGCCTAGCAATCTGTACCATTAAAAGTTAAAAAGTTCTCTCTACAGATGATAATAATGTATAATTCTGTGAAATTGGACAGAGCCGTGAACGCCTCAGCCTCACCCTGAAGATCAGAAGGCAGATCTCCAAAAGAAATTCCCTATTCTCTTTCGTTGTGTGGCACAGAACACGTGAGAGGCCCTGGTGGCTGGAGGGATTCTCTGGAGAGACCGCAGCAAGGATGGGTCAGCAAGAGTGAGAAAAGTCAGAAGCTGTGAGAGCTTTAAGTCAGGAAGATGACAGCCTAAATTTTACATATCACCTCAACCGGTCCACGAAATAAAAATGAAAGAAGAGGCAGGGAGGCAATAGGGAGGCCTAGGAGGCACATTTTTGGGGGAGAAAGCTGATGACCAAGGGTTTTAAAGAGCCATAAATGTCTCTTTGTCCAAGTGCCCATGTCCTCCGTCCCAAGGACTCTCTTCGGAGTCCTGCTTATAGCTTGTTTCTGCATTGAAAAAAGCTGTCCAGGGCTCCAGTTTCTGTTCTCAATTTCTTCTACTACTTTTTAGGAAAACCCATACATAAACTATTTCAAGCAGACAAACTGCTTCTGGAAGCTTCTTTCTGGGCTTCAGTGTGATAGGCCCCAACAGGCTGATGCCAACTGTCAGCTCACATCCCAAAAGCCACAGGAGGAAAACTGTGAGATATTTTCTGGGGCACCTGGGTGGCCCAGTCAGTTAAGCATCTGACTTCGGCTCTGGTCATGATCTTGGGGTTCTGGGATCGAGCCCCATGTTGGGCTCTGTGCTCAGTGGGGAGTCTGCTTGTCCCTCTGCCCCTCCCCCCAGCTTATACACTCTCTCTCTCAGATAAATAAAAAGACATTTTCTTACAGAGTAGAAAATTATTCATATATCCTAGGTGATAATTTCTTCAGAGCATTCTACCTTGCAAATATTTAGATGCTGAGAGATTTCCCTCAAAGAAGTGACTTAATGTTCTTTGAACTGTAAGACAAATTGAAGCATCAGATGTGATAAATCTAATCAACAACGAATCATTTCCCACACAAATGTAAGTTTATTAAAGCAGAATGTTCACACTGTCCCATGAGCAGGGATTGATGAGTAAAGCACTGACATAAACCACAATACAGTTCTCTAAACAAATTTTCATTCTTCAGGTTATTCCATATCGTCCCCTTTTTGTTATTTTCTTTCCCTTATCTTTCTTTGTTTGCATACTTTACCCAAGAAATCAGAGATCAACAGGGTTCAAGGTATCTCAAGAAACATCTCTGATGTCTGGGATTCTATCCTCCCTGAATCAAACCAGCGCTCCACCCTTCACGGGGCTGCTAAGTTCCAGGTTGGGAAGACAATGAACAGCAGATGTCCATCCTAACGAACAATATCCAGTGAGCCTCAGAATATGGACGGATGCTTCAAATGTGTTCTGATACATATTTTCTCACTAACATCTTTGGCACCCACTCTTGGCCATGAGCACATTTCTCAGGTTCTTTGGGTCAATGAAAATGTGGCAACCTGTCAGCCTCCTATCACAACATGACATGTATTGTGCCATTTTTCGAAAGTAGATATAAAATGTAAAGTGAGGAATCTCTATTTTATTTTATTTTATTTTATTTAAAGATTTTATTTATTTATTTGAGACAGAGAGAATGAGAGAGAGAGAGCACATGAGAGGGGGGAGGGTCAGAGGGAGAAGCAGACTCCCTGCCGAGCAGGGAGCCCGATGCGGGACTCGATCCCGGGACTCCAGGATCATGACCCGAGCCGAAGGCAGTCGCCTAACCAACTGAGCCACCCAGGCGCCCCGAGGAATCTCTATTTTAGACTTAGGAAAAGACTAGGTCAGTAAGTAAAACTTTGGAGTAATAGATTTTTTTTTTTTTTAAGATTTTATTTATTTGACAGAGAGAGACACAGTGAGAGAGGGAACACAAGTAGGGGGAGTGGGAGAGGGAGAAGCAGACTCCCCGCCGAGCAGGGAGTCCGATGCGGGATTCGATCCCAGGACCCCAGGATCACGACCTGAGCCAAAGGCAGATGCTCAACAACTGAGCCACCCAGGTGCCCCAGTACTAGATTTTTAAATGTAATTTTATATCAAAGACATAAACTAAAAACTAACACTTGGATGGTTCTAGGCAGAGGTTCTCCTGCACCATCTATAATACAAAATACAGATTTATAACTGCAACCTTCTTTTGACTATAATCAATATGGTCAAAACTGTACAAATTTCCTTCCCCCAACAAAGACTCTACATGACCCTTGAAATTGCAACCAGTCTCCTCAGCAAGAACAGTTCTTTCAAAATGATGCAAAATACTCATCTAGCCAGAACCGTGAAAGGTTTTGACCTAGAAGTCTAGACAAGGAAGATTCCACTCTAAACATTAATAAAATAAAATCGCAGCTGATCAGTCTGCTCACCTCAAGGGACTTTTCTGTCTTCCCTTTTAGTTTTTCAAGTTCTTCCTTCAATTTTTCATTTTCATGACTCAAAGCCATGAGGCGCTCCTTGGCTTCTTTGCTCTGTATCTCGAAAAAAAGGCGTTCTTCCTTCTGTTTCTCTGTCCAGGCTGAAAGCTCTTCAAATCGCCCTTTCATCGCCTGATTATTTAGCTTCATGGCTTCTGTACGGGGTTCAGAGTGAGAGTGTCACACATCAGACTCGATCTGATGAATCCGACCTCCAAGACCACCCTCACCACATGGCACCAAATCCAAAGAAGCCATGCTTGGCCTGGGCCCCGGGGTTGGCAGGAAATGTAGCAAGGTGAGTGGTTTTTGCTTTCAGACAGGACTCGGGGGCCTAATGTCATTTCTAGTCCTCCAAAGACTCCAGAAAACAAAACTAGTTTGGGTCCCTCCACTAAGGCACACAAGCTAGAGGACTGATTCAAACACCAGTCCTGCCAGAAGCCATGGCCTGATGCCCCAGAAAGCTTTCCGTGAACAAGGTCATAGTGAGGACTAACTCCGTAATTCTTCCTGTTTCTTTCTAAAGGAACCACATGTCATTATGCCATTTCCCTGGGGGTATGTAAGTACCTTTTATTCTTATCTGTATCCCCAAAGTAAACAATGGAAACAATGTTAGCCTTACCAAAAGCTAAACTCTGTGCTCTTTCTCCTGCTAGTGAAACAGAGAGAAGGGAATTCACCAACAAGCCTTTTGACAGAGAGATGCCGTTCATGAAGGTACAGCGTGAATGAAGAACCATGGTGGCTAGGGGCTGCTCACCTTTGAGCTGATGGTTCTCAATCAGGAGCTCCTTCATCTGCTGCAGCAGTTCCTCTGGAGTGAATGTGTCCAGGTTTGGGTGAGCCAGGTTGGGGGGTCCATTTCCTGTGGTTTCGTTGGGGCTGTCCCCCTTTTCAGTCAGGCAGCTAAGAGGTTGGTGGGACATGGCAGCAGGACCTAGGGAAACATCACAAACTGAACAGAGAGACGTCTTCCCGTGGCAATGGGTCCCCGTGAGTCGCGCAGATCCATGGGCAACTGCTAGTGAGTATTCCAAAAGTTGCCTCCTTCCTCTCCAATTCTATTTTGGACATTTTTGGTTCTTCCCTTTAAACAAAAAAGGTATATGCTAGCTTCAGTGTGTATGTGTGTGCATGTGCGTCTGTGTATGTGGGTGCGGTGAGGACCTGCGGGATGGAGGAGGAAGAGAAGAGTATGAGATCATGAGAATCGGGAATCCTAACAGGAATTCAAGGTTTCCAAAAATATATTTGTAGACATGGGTAAAGTATCATTAAATTGGTTTTCCTATGCAAATCTTTCAAGCTCAAATCTTTTTGTTTTGGGTGAATTGCACAGAAAGCTGTTAAAAAAATCTCCATATTTTATCTCTTGAATTTTTGGCTAAGAGGAAAGGGAGAACGAACATATTTTGGATGCTTACTACATGCTGAATCACCGCACCAGAATGTCAGTTTCTAATCCTCGCTAAAACCCAAATGGATGGCTACTTTACAGGAGACGGAGCTGAGTTCACGGCAGTGTTACAGCTCGGCCAAGGTCACTTCATAAGAGGTGCAACCGAGTATTAACAACACCAAAACCCAGCCCTGTCACACAATAAAGATGCTACCGAATATTTAGGCTTCAATATCCAATAATTCTGTAAGGCATCCTAAAAAGACCAAGAGATCTTGCTCACTTTTTGCATATTCTGAGAATATTTTAAGCATACCACCACTTTATTTTGTAGAGGGGTCAATGTGGACATAAATAAGATAGACAAGTGTATCCCAAATCCATTTATATATGCCCTACCACCTGGGCAAACACAGGAATCTCTTGTAACAACTGGCAACATGCTACAGGCAAACATTTTCTTTTTTGTGCTTTGTGAAGATGATGACAAGCCTTGTCATGGAAGATGAAGAAGGATAAGTGCACTCTCTCTTATACATCACCGTATCATTAACACCTAGGAGTGCTCTTGGTGACCATATATTAAAATGCGACCAAACACACAGGGTGTGGTGCAATGCTTCTTCCCCACCCTCAACTGGAAGCAAAGCTTGGGGGTTCTGTGGAGGTCCCCTGGACCCAAGAGCCTGGTGACCTGCTTTTGGTCTCAAGGAACCTGGAGGCCACAAGAGATAGTACCACGAAAGGACAGCAGGCTCCGGCTTCTCCCCTGAGCAGCCACCTCAAGTAGAGACAGTCTCATGGAACGCTTTAATGAGGATGGCAATTTATGAAGTGAAAAACACTGACGAGGCATACCATCCAACTGGGAGCCTTTGGAAGGTATCTATGTTTTACATATCCTAAGCATTTAGAAAAGAGGTATAATGCTCTTAGTATTCGGTGACTAGAAGAGACTGCTTTTGCTTTCCCCAATAAAATAATGTGGATAAAATAATTTAGACAAGAACAATTTGGAGAAATCCAGTTTCTGGTTTTCCATAACACTCATTTTCACACAGTATGATGTTGGAATTAACATTTCATAAAAATGGGTTTTTACCAAATAACAGGAATACTAAAGAGACCCAAAGATAAAATCCTTGCAATGTGCCCCAAAGTTTATAGCAGCAATGTCTACAATAACCAAAATATGGAAAGAGCCCAGATGTCCATCGACAGATGAATAGATAAAGAAGATGTGGTTTATATGCGATGGAATATTACTCAACCATGAAAAAAGAGAAATCTTGCCATTTGCAATGATGTGGATGTAACTAGAGGGTATTAAGCTAAACGAAACAAATCAGTCACTGAAAAACAAATACACATGATTTCACTCATACGTGGAATTTAAGAAACAAAACAGAAGAACATAGGGGAAGGGAAGAAAAAATAAAATCAAAACAGAAAGGGAGGCAAACCATAAGAGACTCTTAACTCTAGGGAACAAACTGAGGGTTACTGGAGGGGAGGTGGGTGGGGGGATGGGGTAACTGGGTGATGGGCATCAAGGAGGGCACTTGATAGAATGAGCACTGGGTGTTCTTTTTAAAAAATTTTATTTATTTGAGATAGAGGACAAGTGGAGGGGCAGAGGCAAAACGAGAAGCAGGCTCCCCGCTGAGCAGGGAGCCCGATATGGGGCTCGATCCCAGGACCCTGAGAGCATGACCTGAGCCAAAGGCAGACGCTTAACGACTGAGCCACCCAGGCGCCCCAGCACTGGGTGTTCTATGCAACTGATGAATCACTAAATTCTATCCCTGAAACTAATAATACACTATATGTTAACTAAATTGAATTTAAATAAAAAATTTAAAAAATCCTTGCAATATGTATCATTTACTTGTCAACGTTCAATTTGCTTAGGTATTCAATGATTATAATACACTTTGCAAAAGTAAATGGAAACATTCAACAGATGTTTTTTTTAAAAAGTTCCTAAGCAGTTCTCTAGAGATGTGCTTAGTTTCATTTTATTATATACACATTTCTCCTTACTGGTTTTTCCAAGAGAGAGGAAAGGGGAGAGAAGGGGAAAGGGCAGGGGAGGGCAGGCAAGGAGAAGGGAGGGAAGGGGAGAAAAGAAACATTTTCTCTTGAAAATTACTCAGGTATTTTTCCTCTTCAACTTTCCTTTACACCTCCTTTAGACACAGCCACACTAAAGTTAAAACTGGTTCTAGCTGTTATATCAGAGCTAACTTTTTCAGGTTGCCCAGATTTTAGGAGGACATGAGGGGGAAAAGCAAGGTTATGCTAAGGGTGAGAGTAGACAAGACATTGGGTGCCTTAACCAGATGTGTGACTCTTATGATAATTTACTGACTTGTCTAGCAAATGATGATCATTACATTTGCTTTCGGCTCAAAAACCCATGAAAAGTATTCTTGAGTTTGTAGGAAGATCCAACCCCACCATCCAACACATACAGCCCAGCACCATCATGGCCATACCACCATATGTATTATATGCTTGTCCTAATCATAGCAAACACTTCATTATCTAGCATTGTTAGGAAAAATTATTTGGTAATTCAAATGTCATAGGAAATAAGAAGTTAGTGTATATGCCAAACATAATGTAATGTAATGTAAATACTTATTACCAATTTTTACCAAAAGCAATTTAATTGATTTTTGGTGACCCAAAGAGCACCCTATGATTTTAGGTATTTTGGGGGCATCATTAGGAGTAATGAGTACAGTGCTTATGTAAAATGTCTATTGGTAGAGTACCCATTAGGGAAAGCTGAATTTTCTAAATCTTTAACATCACCTTAAGCTACTTTTTTTTTTTTTAATATATATATTTTTTAAGATTTTATTTATTTATTTGAGAGAGAGACAGAGAGAGAGCATGAGAGGGGGGAGGGTCAGAGGGAGAAGCAGACTCCCTGCCGAGCAGGGAGCCCAATGCGGGACTCTATCCCGGGACTCCAGGATCATGACCTGAGCCGAAGGAAGTCGCTTAACCAACTGAGCCACCCAGGCGTCCCTTAAGCTACTTTCAATTGAACAAATACAGAGATGCATTATAAATTCTTGCACACATCTTCAAAGGTTATAGAAATTGGAACTAAGCCATTTATTCCAAGGTTCTATCTGGTAACATAATTTCTTTTTTCCTTTTTTTTTTTAATAACAGAATTTCTCATAACCTGGATCTGAAACATGTCATTTTTTTTCTTTTTTTTTTTAATGTAAGCTCTATGTCCAACATGGGGCTTGAACTCATCACCCCAAGATTAAGAGTCACATACTCTACCAACTGAGCCAGCCAGGCACCCTTGAAACATGTCACTTCTAAGCAAAGGTGATATTTAACTACAGAGGGTGAATTAATTTAGCACAGGATTTATCAAGATTTCACCAGTGAGGAAGAAGGCAAACTACCTGGAAGAATCGCCTCGATTTTATTCCCAGATCTATTTGAATTCTTAAATATATTATCATTTTTAATTCCAGAGGTCAAGTAATTATAGCAATGACTTGACTTTGTGGGTGTGGACATGAGCTTAAATCTCATTCCTGAATTGGCCTTACAAATGATCCAGTCCAACTTCTTACTCAATGCAAGAATATCTTATCTGGTTTCCATGGAAGATGGTCATCCCCACCAAGCTTGAAAGGCTTCAATGACAGAAAATATGAGCAATTAACTTGAGCAGGCAACACAGCCCATTCTGTTCTGGGGCCAGTCCCATCATTAGAAAGTTATTCTGTATGGAACAGAAATTTGCCTTATACTGACTTCCACCCACTGGACATTGGACCAATGAGCATCATGCAGAGTAAGTCCAGGCCCTTGTCCTGGTATGTTCCAAACTGGCTTAATAAGCATTCACAGGTTCAATCCCCACATGAATAAATTAATTTTAAACAGTAAAAACCTATTTCTTGATCAGAGCCCATAGGTGTGGCTATTGGCAAATTCTGGTTTGGGATCATGATGGGGGGTTGAGTATGAATCCAAGATTACATCAACTAAAACCATCATCATACTGGAAAAAGAACTCAGTCTCTATCCTATGAAGGGGGAAAAAGAAGCTTTGCTTTTTATGCCAGAAATGGTATTCTGATTTTGTAATTTGCTAACCTACAGAAAATGGAAATGGATTTACCATTATCACGTAAGGCAAGAGCCTGGGAGTGTTTGGATTCTCTCTGTTGAGTGAAAAGTCACTAAGTGGCTGGTACTTCTTCCTCCTCCCCATCCCTGCCAGCTTAGGTCAGGCCCTCCTTGTCTTGTCTCAATTACAACAGTGATGCACTTCACAGAGCACAGGATTTTTGTCTATTCTGTGCACCACTGTGTCCCCGGCACCGAGAATGCTTGCTGAATAGTCTCCTACTCGGTGTGGCTCGCCTCTTTCTACTGCAGTCCCCCTACCACTACAGTTTCTTTCCTGGCATGAGGTCACCCTCCTGCTGAAAACCCTTCCCATACAAGGCAGAATTCCAGCTCCCAAATGAGAAAAACGTGGCCTTTCAGAGTCTGGTCCCCACTTACCCACCCGTATCACCTCCTCTCGCCACGCCACTCGCTCGCAAGGCACATCAAAGAGCTCACAGTTCCCCGCCTTCTTCTGCTTCTCTGCTCTTATCTCTGTTCTCCCCTCTGCACAAAATGTCTGGCCCCACGTTTGCCCTGGCAAATACCCACCAGACAGTTCCACGTCCGGCTGAGATAGATGGCCTGTGTAAAACAAACTGTTCTTTCCTCTCAGTACCCAGTAGCACTAGGCTCTCTCTGCAAAGTCCTATAATCATCCCATTCCAGTCTATCTTCCATCAAACGTCAGTGAAGGTCTCTATTTTATTCTTGTAAGTGGCACACAGCAGGCTCGCAGTAAATGTTCATTGAAATGAAATGAAAATACAGTGTAACAAGGTATTTTAAGGTCTAGCACTTGTAAAACACTTTCTGCTCTGTAGTGACAAACCCAGCATGCTAGTATTATGAGTTTTTCTACAGCTCTATCGCACTCATTCCCAGATTCTTGAGCTCAACTTTTAAAACTTGTTTTGAAAATTCGTACCATTTCTTTTATGATCCCCAAAGGTATCTGGGTGTCATTTCATAACACACATTCTATTATTTCATCCTCATATACATGTCAAAATGAAAACTTTCAAAATAATACTTTCCTCTGAATGAAATAGACTTTACTTCTCAAGAACAGAGTTTAATTTCTTCCTTTTCATTTGGATTTACTAATCCCACTGATTCCAAAGAACATATCAAATAGTCCAAGTCTCTATAAAATTCAGAAAAAGCAGGGCTTGGAGAAGAAAATGCCCGTACAACCTCATGTAAAGGAGAGCGGGAGAGGGTTCTGTAGGAAGGTAATACCATGGCCAATTCCTTTCAAGAATAAAGTTTTTGTTTTTTGGAGGGTTTAGTTGGATTCCATAGCATAATATGCAACCTGAGCTCAGTTACAAAAAAAAGACGCTATTTTTAAAACATTGTACACAATATACAAAAAACCACTAGAAGTGGCCCAGTAGAAAAACAGATCAGTCCCTCGGAAGATTTCAGTCCCTCGGAAGATTCCAGTCCCTGTCCTCTCTCTCCAGGCCACATTTAAATTTCACTTACCTTGTCCATTCCAGGGCAGATCCTGGCCTTAGCCTCTGTTCCAGGATCTCTCCAGCCCAGTACAAATTGGGCACATCCTGGGAGGTAGCCAGGGTTCCCTAGCTCTTTTCTCCCCAGGCAAAGAGCAGGGGGAGGGGCTGGTTCTTGTGTTAATAGTGCTGCCCTGCTTTATCAAATCTGAGGCTTTTGAGGTCCTACCACCACCTTACTGGTCTACGGGTTCTGTTTTCCATTTCATCCTTCAACAGTTCTGGGGCATACATTTCCATACAACAGTTTACCTGGAGGAGGAGGCTAGACCAGAATCTGGGTTTCGTTTTCTCTTAGAGATGCTGACTCTGCATCCAGCTTCCACATTTCCGACAGTAAAAACAACTCCTCTGGGGTTCTCAGCCTCATCGAGTATTCACGATCTATATATGTATATACACACAAACACATACACACATGCTTTCCCGGACCCAACGGTTTATGAAGATTCCTTTCAGCTGTTCAGGAGTCCCAGCGCCTTAGAGAGAGGTCACCTGTTCCTCAGTGTTCCTGGGCCACCTCATAAAGATGGAGTAGTTTTTGTTTCTCAAAGGTATACCTGTAACCACTTCCCATATAATGAGGAACTGGCTGTATAATCATTCCCAACCTGCAGGAAGATGTCACCCTCAAGCCACCTCCGTGACCTACAGAGGAAGTCACCTGCGGCCAGCCGGGCCGGTAAAAAAGGGGGGGAGGTCGCTTTGGGATGGCCGCCCCGCTCCCCTTTCCCACCAGGTCAGGCTCTGCCCAGGCCTGGAAACCCTCCCGGAGGAGAGGACGCCCCATCCCTCGCCACCCACACCGCGACAGGCTCCGGGTCGCAGGGAAGGCGGCCGCGGGAACAGCTTCCAAGGCGGAAAGGGAGCCGCCGCCTCTCCGAGCCCCTGCCCACCCCCTGCCCCCGCTTACCCCGCGCCCGCGCTCCGGCCGCTCTCGGGATCACTGCTTCCTCCGCATCGTGCCCGCTGGGGGAGGGCTCCGGACCCGGATGCGGGCGCCGACCAGGGGACCAGCCGGGGGCAGCGGCGCGGGCTCGGGGAGCCTCTGGCTGACTTGCGGCCTCGCGACCCCGCCCAGCGCCGCTCAGCTGACCGCTGCGCCGTCCTCCCCGCCCCCGCCGGGAATTTCCCGGGCCCCGCCCCCGAGGCCCCGCCCCGCAGCCGCGCCCCACAGGCCCCGCCCCCTCCCCCGGGCGCGCGCCTCCAGCCCGCAGTCCCACCGCGTAGCTAGTGCCCGCAGAGGCCCCAGCCTGGAAAATGAGGGCTACGTGGGTCTGTGAACCGCCGTGACTCGCGGCGCTCACTTAAATACATTCTTAATTAAAGGAGTGTGCGGAGTCGGTCTCCTCTGCGGGGGTCCCTTTAGAAGGCCGGAGTCGCAGGGGCTCGCTGCGCCCTCGATCTCTGTTAAGTCTTACATCTAGATACGGTTAACTGAGCATGCATGGCTTTCCATCCGACTTTGCCCTTAAAATAGACCTTTAATTAAAAACATAAAGCCTGCAGGATGCTTCTTGGGCTCTTTGTTCCCACGGAAGAGGCCAATGGTGGACGCCTGGATAGTTCAAGTGCCCCAGGCCCGTGGGATTACTGGATTGATTTGGATTGTTTTGGGAAGCAGAAGTACTGATCTACTTGTAACCGGAGGAGGGAAGATGCTTCCGGATTAGATAGAATTAAAAGGGAGGAAACAAGACGACGAAGAAGCACAATAATTTGCGTCCTAAGCACAGCGAGAAGGGTTGAGCAAGGACGCAGACACAGGACACAGAAGGGAACTGATAGTGAGGTCAAGATCTGGGCAGGGTCTCGACCAAGGTGGTGCAGCCTGTGCCTGGCACCAGGACCCTATGCAAGACAAGAAAACAGAAATGGGAGAGGGAGAGGGGGCGGAGGGGAGAGTTGAGAAAGGATAGGGTCTGAGAGTAAGTTTGTGCCAAAGATCAAAAAGGATTTTCAATACCAGGCATATACCCTAACCCTGACCCTAATCCCTAACCCCAAACCCAGCAGAAATCTGGGGTTTTATTCTCTGGAGTCTCTGAACTGCAAAATACCCAAACCCTAACCCCTAACCAAGGGGGGAGAAAAGAAAAAGGACTTCATGTGCGGGAAGAACTTGATTTAGTAATGAAGACGCTGACGCTGCTCAGCAGGAATACGCAGCACGTGGTTGTGCGTCCAAACAGCCCAGTGGTTGGAAGGCAAGGGGGAAAAAAAATCCGAAATCTAAATGGGAAAAGGCGAAGGCGCCCTCTCCTGGCATCTCGGAAGGATTTAGTTTCACTTTCAAGACCGCCTGCTCCAGTCAGGTTCCCCCTGCCTGGTCTTTTACACCACCGTTGAATTAATCTCTAAAATTGGGCAGAGGGGTAGCAAGTCAGTCCCTGGCCCCACACCCAACTCCCGAGGGTCCCTCCTGAGCCTGTCCGGGGTGCCTAGGGTGAGTCCCACTCCCACTGGGTTTCCTTCTATTTTAAACCATATTAAGGTAAGATAAAATGAGTATAAGAGGATTTGGGGGCGGGGAGGTGCGGGAAGAAGGTCGTACGGAGGCTGCTCTCAGCCTGGGAGTAGTAGGGTTGGAGGTGAGCTTCTGGTAGAGAAAGTGGTGGAGGGAGTTTTCTCAGCCCTTTTGGGAGGGGCCCTGAAGCATTGCGCAACCCTGCCACTTCTTAGCTCCGAGACCTTGGGCAATTTACCTGGTCTTGCCTTGCCTCGTTCTCTTTATCTGCAAAATCCAAAAAGTTCTGAGAACCAAAAGCCTTTCTTAGTTCAGCTGGGGGCAAAACCCGACCTCAACTGATGAAGAGGTATTGACACTTCATGGGATTATTTATTTCATTCAAGACACATTACTTAGTTTATATGAGATCCGCTTCGGACACTCTTGGGGAGTTATGTTATATAAATTACATACTTTGTAATACATTACTGCCTCACCTTTCTAAAATCCAAAAAAATTCTGAATTCTGAAACGGGAGCTTGCTCCACAGGCTTTAAATAAGGGATCTGGATCTTCAGCCCCTACTGCCTAAGGCCATTGTGAGGATGCAGGGCTAAGATTAGTAAAAGTAACCCGGGGGCACAGTGTCATTGTTGTCGCTCTGCTTCTTAGCCTGACTGGTGGGGTGGTGCCTTTTCCTCTCATACTTCCGTAAGTAGATGGAATCTACGTGTAGATAAAAAGACTAAAATTATAACGTGCTTTTAGCTGTTCACTGATGCGGTTTTGTGGTAGGTGACTGCAAAGCAGCGTGGCAGCATATTCAGTGAGATATTCATTTATTTCATGCTTTCTGTGCTCCTCCCTACTCCCCTCACCCCCTCTGCGTGGAGAAGGCAGTTCATCCCTTTGTGGTTCCTACCTCAAGGGCATTTGCCCAGGAGTCTTGGACAAACAACCTTTCTAAAGGCAATCTACCCCAGGTGTCCTGGAGGGAAGGGGAGAGAGGCCAGGGTGTGTGTGTCAAAGCAAAATGAACAAGACTTTTAGTTTCTTAAAAAAAAAAAAGGAAGAAAGTTTTATTCGAGTCCAAATGAGGACGACTTCCCTGGATACACAATCTTCACAAAGAGGAGAGCGCTCTGGAGAAAGAAGGTTTGATACAGGGTTATATATGTTTTTTTTTTGTTTTTTTTTTTTTTACATCAAAGGTTACAGTTCACCATGACATAAGACATTTCAGAAAATTACAAACTTGGGGCGCCTGGGTGGCTCAGTCATTAAGTGTCTGCCTTTGGCTCAGGTCATGATCTCAGGGTCCTGGGATCGAGCCCTCCATTGGGCTCCCTGCTCGGCAGGAAGCCTGCTTCTCCCTCTCCCACTCCCTCTGCTTGTGTTCCCTCTTTCGCTGTGTCTCTCTCTCTGTCAAATAAATAAATATAAGTCTTTAAAAAAAAAAGAAAATTACAAACTTTATCTTAGGTTTTGGTATTTACAAGGTTGCGGGCTTCAGAGGTATGGGAGCTTAGGGAGATTCTTACTCTTATCTCTAGGAATGTTTCTTTTGGGGTATTTGCTAATGAAGCAGATGTAAAAAGTGTGCTCACGGCAGAAATAGTGCCCATGCTCTGAAGTTTGGTTAAATCATTCTGACCTTGGTAAAAGTTAAAAATAATAGCTTTCCTGAGATCCCCGGAGCAGAGCCCACAGCATTAAAAGTTGACATTTTATTAGGTGGAGGGCTTTCACAGCAGTAGGAGGGAAGGAAGTGTGACACCTACAAAGTGGGAGAGGGGTAGAGGTTGGTGGTCTCATGAGCGTCAAAGAGTTGAGCCTCAGCCCCTTTGCCTATAATGATACTGTGATTGAGCGTCACGGTGACCAAAGAAAAAACATTTGTCAGTGTCTCTTGGAGGTTGGTATTGACAAGGAGGAACAGCTTAAAGTTCATGGATTCTAAAGTGAACCTAACTACACGAAGAATTTCTTAAATAATTTTGTTCCTTAAACCGACTTTGGCTTCCTTGTGAAATGATTCTCTGCAGTAAACAAACTTTTTATTTATTTGATCATTCACACTTCCATTCACGTCTGCATGATTGTGGAAAACAAGGGAGTATGTAGACTAGTAACCCATAAGAAAATTGCGGTAAGGTGGTCCCAAAACCCTGTACAATCTTAATATGTTTCCAGTGGAAAATATTTTGTTTTGAGTGTTTGTTTATTGTTCAGTTTATTATTTTTTACTTGATTAAATGCTTTTTTGTTGTATTAAACCATGTATGTTGCAGCTTAACAATAAAGAAAAGTCTATGAAAAAAATTATATAATAAATCTATCTGTAGTATGATTCCATATATATGAGATGTCTGGAAAAGGGAAACAGAGAGACAGCAGACCTGTGGTTACCTGGGGTTGGGAGTGGCTTTGACTGCAAGCGAGTTCAAGGGAATTATGGCAGGGGCGGGTGATGAAAATATTCTCAAACAGGGTTGTCATGATCATTGTAAACTCTTATTGGCATAATTAGAATCATCAAGCTTACAATGGGTGAAATATATAGGGTGTTAATGATACCTCAATAGAGTTGCAAAAACAACACCAAAAAGCACCCTGGAGACTGACGTCAGTAATCATGAGGTCTGATGAAGGGTACATCTGATGAAGGGTTCCTCAGAAAAGTTCAACGGCATTACCACATGACCCTGCAATTCCTCTCCTAGGCATACACCCCAATGGATTAAAAACAGGGACTCAAACGAGTGTGTGTATTTCCTCTTAGCGATATCTGGCACTGTAGCATCTGCCCGTAGGAGGAGTGGGGTGTGTAGTCGAGGCTTCCATCAGAACGAGGCTCTGGGATGAGAGTCTAACCTGCCACCAGTTTGCACGCCAAGTATCTTGAGTGCCAGGAACAATGACGCTGCTTTATGAAAAGCCAGAGCACTGTGTGTGTGCTCTGTGTGTAATTCCTCTCCTTTGCCTCACGTCTGTAAATCTTGAAACAGTAAACTTGTTGGGGAGGACTCAGTGTTTATCTTTTAGGTGATCATCAGTCCTCTGTGAATATTAAAAAAGAACAGCCTAGTAATACGACGGCTTATCAATTACTTCCTGCTCCTGTCCATTACGTACACACAGAAGCTGTCCTAGACTCCTGCACGAGTCAAAGCAGAGCATAGATTTACACGTTAAATTCTTGTTTCCTTGTTTTGTTATAGAACTGTTCAAAATTCCTGGAGCAAAATGTTCTATTGAAGTACTTATGAGTCAGAGCCAGTGATCCGGGAGCTTAATCACTCCAAAACACCGCAGTTCTCCGTCATGGTCTGAAAAGCACTGCCATTGTCTTCCTTGTATGCCTGGCAAGTGGGAAATGGCCTGGGTGTCTCATTCCTTGCTTCTGATTAAATAATTCATCTGTCACTGTTGAAGCCCATGTGATTTGTCTTTTTTCCATCTCGCTTATTCTTTCCCAGAATGAAATTTCTCACTTCTCAGAGTGCAGGGTGGCATTGGGAACACAGTCCTGGGTATCAGGCTACTTGGGTCTGACCTGAGAACACACGAAGGGGCAGAGTTCCTTGGACCTTGGCCTCTGTGTCAGTGAGGTAGAGAGGCCGGGACAGGTGATCTCGTAGCTTCCCTCCAA